AGGGGCGTTTGTGCTTGTTGTTGGATCAATTTGCTTTCAGTGTATTTCGGTTAACGCAAACGCGAGCAACAGAAGTAACAGTAAAGAATAAGAAATTTTTACGCAGGAAGTAACGCAAATTACCGTCGCATATTTCCCAGTCTATAGCAACTCAGATGCACACACAACCTCCCTCTGAAATCTGAATCCACTCCACTCCTAGCTCTAAGCTAATGCAATTAAATTTTGCTTTTTTATTGTTTCATTAGTTCCCTATTTACTGCGTCTCTACTGCGTGTTAATACGGATGCGTCACCCTGCTACGTATTTATTATTATTATTATTATTATTACATCAAGAGCAGACAACCCGCTAAACGGGACTTCAACGTCTGGTCGGCAACAAAATATAACTAAACAAAAACAATTTTAAGACAGATCAACAGTTCGGAGAGCAAATTTAAAAAATCCCACACCATCAACACTGAGTATCTGCATGTTAACTTTTTTTATGCGCTCAAAGATGTTCCTTAGTCGCATGGCCAGTGTGCCTTCTCCGATCTTCTTCTTCGCTCTGGCTGCAATTCTCGTTGGGTTCCGCAGGTTGTACAGCATTCCCAGATCCGTGAAGTCGATCATCCCGACCATATACCGCGGCGGATGGTATGCTTCGTGGTTGTAGATCTTATACAGCCAGACCGCTTCAGACTGCTTCCAACGGTCGTACACCGGCAGGATGCGCAGTTTCTGATACAGCTCGGGTGTAACCCGCTCCTTGTAATCAGAAATCGCCCGCAGTGCTTTCCGCTGTGCCCTATCTAATTTCTCGCGTAAAGCCGAAGATGCCTGCGACCACGTATCTGACCCGTAATCCAGATGTGGCTGCACACAGGCATGGTAAAGGCTCCTACGCTGAGGCAGATCCAGGCCGTCTTTCGAGCGGTTGATCATTGCGATGCCGTAGTTAACTGTTCGCAGTATGTGGTCACAATGCACACTCCACTTCAGGTTGCGATCAATGTGAACGCCTAGATACTTGATATGCTGAGGCTGGTACAACCGCACAAGTACAGTATTTATTTACAGTAAAACTAAGCAAGAGTAGGACCCATAGGGAAACAAAACGGAAACATTAACAGAAAATGTAGGTACATTATACGTTGTGCTTTGTACAGGAGCGCCAATACTGGCATCGCTCTGGCCTAATCCAAAAGAAGGGACAACACTAACAACACTGACTGACAAGTTGTACTGGCACTGCTGCCAACCAGTGAAGTCTGTCAGTCAATTTCCGTCTGACAGCAGAAAACAGAGCATTGGTAAGCTTAGCTAATACTCAAAAATCGCCGGTTCATGTATACTCTACAGCACGGGACATCTTATGCCGCTCCCGAGACACTCAACCTGCCGGTGCCATCGCCTTCAATCCCCGCCCTCCAGGCTCTCATCCAGCTCGCGCGCCATCTCGTCCAGCGTGTTGTCGTCGTCGCTGAAGCGCGGCCCGTCCTCGCCTGAATCGCCAGCCGCACTGGAGCTGGTCAGACTGAGGTCCTCCTGTCGCAGCTGCTTGGCCAGCCGCACTTCCGGCTCCTCCTCGTCCTCGCTCGACTCCAGGTCTAACGAGTCCCGCTTCCGTTTGGCGCCCCGCTCCTCTTCATCCAGCAGCACGTCGGCCTCCTCCGAGCTGGAGCTGCTCTCCAGGTGCCCCACGGCCCAAGCGCTCTCTGCAATCAACACCACATCGTACAGTAGCGCCACCTCCAATTGCACGACAACAAAGCAACGCACCGTGCGGCAGCCCGGAGGATTTGGACGGTGCGTGTTCAGAGGCGAATTCCTCTTCGTCGTCCTCCTCACCGATGGCGTCGTCCACCTCGTGATCCATGCAGAGGATGTCGTCGGCCGACAGACCCGACAAACAGCTGACTGACCGCTCCACCGCCGTGGGACGCGGGCCCGCTGCTTCCTCGCGCTCCCGTACGGCAGAATAACTGGCGCCGTCCGCCGCCTCCTCACTCTTCTTCCTCTCGCCTTCCTTCCCCACCGCCTTGCCTCCGTTCACGGCTGCGTCGCTGCGCTGGGGGCGCCCGTTGCGGTGCGCGTCCACCTTGGCCGCCAGAACCAGACCGGCGCTGCTACTGCTGCTGGCCTGACTGAGGGGGAACAGTTTCTCGTCAACCCGCTCCCAGCGTCGCACGCACTCGGCCAGCCAGTCAGCGTTGACGACATGCACGTGCCTGCAAGCCAATAACCACATAACAACCACCGTTAATCACCGATTAACTCCACCGTATACTGCGATGAAGAACAATTACGTACATTTCGCGGGCTTTGTGGACCTTTTCCGTGCCATCCTTGGCGGCAATGAGGTGCGTGGTGTAGTTCTGTGGCTCGGCGGCTTTGTCCAGCAGGCTGGGCTGCGGCACCGCGCCAAAGGACCGTACCAACGCTTCGGCCTTGTCTCTCTCGGGCGAGGGAGTGTCGCTGGGGAAGAATCCGGAGAAGACCAAGCGGCATCCCTGGAGGACCTTCTTCCGCAGCGCCGGTATCACTTCTTTGGTTTTGGGCAGTCGCCGGTTGCTGGTGTCGCCGCTGGCCGTCTCAGAGGATGCCGGATGCAGTTCGTCATACTGGCGGTAATACTCGGCGTGGATGTTGATGAGAATGGTGCGCAGATAGAGGAGGTAGTCGTCGGCGTCCCCCTGCGTCTCCTCCGCGGCACGGTCGGCAAAGCGGTTCTCGTACTGGTGCTTGGTGGCTTTTCCGAGGGCGCTTCCGCCTTCTCGGGGGCGGCGGCATCCAGCTGGATGGCGACGGCGTTCTTGGGGAAGGGCGCGTTGATGTCGCCGGTGTTCTTGAAGTAGGAGTAGGGCCGCACGTGCACGAGATTGGCGGCGTAATTCCACACGTCTTCGCGGTCGTCGATAATGCAGACCATGTCGTCGCCAACCGGAAACAGGTCCCTATACATGCCAACAGGCAACAGTTATTACGGGCAACAGTTATTATTAATCTAGCAGGCTCTGCGCACTTGATATTGGCAGTTTTGAGACAGGGGTCGGAGATCTCATCGCGGGACAGGATGCGATGGGAGAAGAATGTCTTTGGGATCGAGGATCTCGGCAATCTTGTGGGCGTACATCCGGTTGCCGAAGGTGCAAATGTGCAGCTGGTAATACTTGAGGAGGTCGGCGAGGAAGTCGAGGGTGCCCGGGCGCAGTTTGGTGTGGTACCAGGGATTGTTGAAGTGGCCCTTGGACAACTGGAAATGGTGCACGTTCTGCAGCCATCATTGAAGGTCTTCATTAGCAAATCCCACAAAAACGAGCAACCGCAAACTAACCTTCAAGTTATTGTTGACGGGAGCAATGGTCGTGTGGATGATGGTCTGGTCCAGGTCGACCAGCAGGGCCAAGCGCCGCTTGCCGATCAGGTACACCAGGTCGTCCTCGCCAATGCGCTGAGCGATCTCCTTGCTCACTTTCAGCTCCGATATATTGTGCACCTACCCTAACAAATTTGTAAATAAAAAAAATTGCGCACGTATCAGAGCGGGTATACAGGAAGAGCCAAAGGTGCAGTACACCAAATAATTTTCTATTTCAGTAATTAGGCAGTTATTGCGTTGATGGTTTAGAAGCATGCTGACTACAATTGCAGTATCTCATACCTACAAATTAGACAATGCTATTATGAGAATGACTGACGGTGTTTATACCATTGTTACACCCGGTGCTGACTCCGACTTCCGGTTGCCGTTACCGGATCCACTTTAATTTCCAGCCGCAGGTCGGCGCCGCCGGCATGCGTATCTCATGGGACAGCCAGGCTTATCCGCATCTGCGCATCACGACCGCTCTGCAAATATCACTTGTTCTGTGAATCTGTAGCCAAGCGCAACCTATTCAAGCCCAGTCAATCTAATCACTGAGTAATCATACTGTAATATTACAATTTTTTTAAAATGCGCAACGTCCTGGCAGCACTATCCAGCGCTGTCACCCTGGGGCGAAGGCTCCCGACAAGTACAGCAATTTCAAAACCGTACTGAAAATGACGCACTGAAATTCCATAAAAATATGCTTTTGCATAATTTTGTTAGGAATGTAAAAAGCCGGAAACCTCGCAAAACCTTCCGAAATATTTCTGGAAAGAATTATATTATTATTATCAACAAACCGCAATGGCAACAGTAAGAAAGTAAAAAAACCCTGATTCAGTATTCACTAGTGACTATTCACTACGGTAGGTTTTCCAGATAGACCCGCCCCTGCACATAAAAAGGATAATAAAAACGCCACCAGAACGGTTCCTTGTACCCACTACCCAGGCCTCTAACACTTGAACAGAATCTCCCCTGAACGCAAAGTAATGCGTTTACACTTTACCTGCTCGTGAGAATATCTGTGTTTTCGGTCGGGATTGAAACAATCAAGAGAGATCAAGCATCTGAATTTTCCTTCGTCAGATTTGGATATTTTCTCGTCATCTTGCCAGGAATTCCATAGGTAAACAACACTTACTTGGCCACGAGAAACCTGCTCTCCAACGCGCACTTTGAATTTGGTGATTTTGCTTTCTATTTAAAAAATGCATGAATTTGTACTTAAAAAATGTTTGCGGGCATTTTTATTTTCAAGATCCAAGCACTTTTATGTATATTGAGGTACCCCTGTTTCGCCGACTCACTATTGATACTGTTCGTATACCGTACCTTGTTAATGTTGAAATTTGTGCATTATTCTTGACCTCTTCCAAAATCCAAAGTACTCGGTTAGAGACCGCCACTTTGTGGACCACCCGGTACGTACGTAAGTACCGTACTTGACGTCATTATTTTGTTTTGTCTAATAAATCTGTATTATATATTTGTATAAAATTAATAAGAAGGCGTGTGGTTGTACAGTATTGTACAGAGCAGGTACATGTTTCATCCCACTACAGCACTCGCACATTAATGACTATGGCTTGGTTTCGACATTAAAATGAGATACAATTAGTACATAAGGCGGAAACGCTCAGTGGAGGATTGCAGTTAATCATTTCATCGGCATTATTAATTTGGCCCACAAAACTAATGCGATCATAAGTCATTATAACGCAACAAGGACAGTGGACACCCACACAGAACAACTCAAAGGAATAGCTACAGAGGCAGCAACCGCAACTGTCGCGAGAGACAACAAACTACCCTGCCAACCGACCACTCCCTTGGCCGAAACGTACAAAACAGCAGCAGCAGATTCCTCTATCTTAAGTCAGTTAGACAAACAGACCAGACCAGCCGGCACGGCCGAGGGAAGCCTCTTTCCATCCATCCACTCTGTGGCGGCTGTCCCGTCCCGCTCCGGCTGCTCCGCTCCTCTCCACTACCACAGACGCCGATTCAATTCAGCCACACACCAAACAGAACCACCACCAGCTGCATCCGACGCACACGCTCCGTCCCGTTTCGTTTCCTTCCGGTCCGGTCCGCTCCGTCGCACGCAGGCCGAAAGAACCAAGCAAATCACCAATCAGCACGCGCAACATATTCCGCACTACATGGACAGATAGACGCTTCTCTCTTCCGCGCATTCATTCCATTCCGCCGCCAATCAACGCCAACACAACAACAACGCTAACACACTAAGACAGCTAAGACAACAAGACACGTCATTCCCACAACAAAACAATTTTTTTGTCCTTTTTTACTGTTAAGCAACGTCTAGTTAATTTAGCAAAAGTAACAAAACAAAATCCAACTAACGGAACGGGTTAGTAAAGTAATCAATTCCAAAGTGACAAAAACTAAGATACTCGTAAAGATAAAGGATAAAAAGCGCTCGCGCAAGTCCCTTCCCGACCAGACTGACGTCTTTAGCGGGCGTCCCCCTCCCGCCCCGGGAGGAGCGTCCCGTGTTGAGCCACAATCAGTGTGTGCAGATGCCTTCTGAACTCTTCCGCGCTCCGCAACCGCGACGCGAGAACGGAACGCGACGCCGTCCCCGCCTCGCTTCGCTCGTGTCCCGTCCTCTCCCCTCTCTTTGGCATGTGAAGCAGCGCAGGACAGAGAGTCCGTCCCCGCTCCGCTCACGGACTGCTCAGCAGCGAGGCGTCCTCGTCGTCGTCCGAGTCGGCACCGAAGCGGCTGCAGCGCTTCTTCCATTTGCACATGTTGCACCACTCCGACTGCTTGTTGATGCCGTACACGCCGCGGCACTTGCGCTGGCTGCTCCGCTTACCCAGCCGCTTCTGCACCGCGCGTCGCCGAGCCGCCGCACCGCTCTCTTCGTCACCTGACAATCAATTCAATTTATTCATACTAATTTGATTAATATTCGATTGTTTTATCCTCAAATAATCACCCACACATAATCGATCAATTATCATTGTAATTAATTCTGTGCAGTAACAGTAACTTGATAAATGATTGCAATAAATAAGTAAGTAATCGGAAAGGTTACTGCAAATTATTTTTGTTAAATAACTGGATAATCACTATAAATAATAATTATATTCGATAACTGATACACTGTTCTAATAATTTCGTAAATTGATCAGATAAATCTAATAATCTTGTGAAATAGTTTGTGCTTACCGATATGCGACGAGGGCGGACTAGGTGTCTTGGGGACACTCTGGGCGGGCGCCGGCCCGGGTTTCTTCTTCAAAAAGGGCGGGAACATCTTGGTCTTCTTGTACATGCGGTCTTGATGCTGCTGCTTGACCAGCTTGCCGATGCAGGACATCATCTCGCCCACCTTCTTGGAGGCGTCCATCAGGCCGCCCACCTTGTGCTTGCGCTGCTTGACGCCCAGCAGCTTCTTCTTGGCGTTGCCCTTCATCGTCTTCTTGTACAGGCCCCCCGCCCCGCCGGCCGCCCCGTTGAGGCGCTTGTGCTTCTTGTAGGGCCCGCGCTTGTAGGGGTAGCCCAGGGGGTTCAGCAGGGGCATGCCCACGCCCACGCCGAAGTCCAGTCCCTCCAGCGGCGGCAGTTTGGGCTCGGGCAGCCGCGCCGGCATCTCCAGCTCGATGCGCATCTCGGGCGTCAGGTGGCTCAGGTCCACCGAGGAGCACCGCGACGACGAGCCCGACAGGTCGCCCCACATGGAGTCGTTGTCGTCGCTGTCGTCCATCGCGTCCAGCTCCAAGTCCAGCACCGACGCGCCTAACCAACAACAGTCCAATGTCACACACTTTGACAACAAGCGCTCCATTGTGCAACGAGGTGTGCACTGCACTTTGCCCGCCCTGACATCACTTCCGCATGCGTTCGTCGCATGGGAAGGGCGCGCAGCCTTCACACCCAAACTCTATCGCATCAATCTCCTTATCTCCGCATACAAATCAATTCATTTATCGGTTCCTTGTCATATATCGCTGGTAATATTACTCTTAAGTTAGAGTTTTTATTAATATTTATTTTTTAACGTATTACTTTTTCGGCTAATTTTGTGCGTAATGTATTGGTTGAATAATCTTACAGGGCGGTGGGGGAATGCAGAGGGGCTGCGGCGGCATCTGGAAGGCGGGCGGTGAGGCCAGCGTCCCGGTCAACTTGCCGGGCAGCGGCGAACACGGTCCGGACTCGCTGCTGATGGAGTTGGAGCGCTGCAGCGGCAGGCCCACCGTGGGCTCCGGGTAGCGGCGCATGAAGCCGGTGAAGACGTTGCAGGTGAGGTTGGCGTCCCAGATGAGCTTGACGAGGGTGTTCAAATTGTCGTCCGTCAGGCGGAAGTGGGCGCGCCCGCTGTGCATCATGTGGAACTGGCCGATGTGCTTCTCCATCTGCTCCAGGCTGGCGTAGACGATGAAGCAGCGACTGCACTGGAACAGCATCTGCCCGATGGACTCGGTCTTCACTTCCACGGACACGTCGCTGTAGTTGGACTGGTTGGAGTTGGAGGAGGCCGCGCTGTTGCTGCAGCTGGCCGGGGACAGCGGCCGCGAGCCGGGCACCGCGTGCGACGAGGGGGACGCCGGCGCCGAGCTGGGCACGTCCTTCGTCGCTCCTTCTGCAAACACACAGCTTGCTGGTACATTTAACGCGAAAGGCTTTCTTGGCCGGTGCATCTCGGCTGTGTACACTACAAATTCTACAATCGCTGTGTTATCTATCTCCTAATCAGCGAAAATACCGCGTATTCACACATTTCATTTACTTTTCCCGGCCTGCGCCTATCAATTATCATTCCTTGGCCATCTTTTGCCAGCAAACCAAGCGTCCCTCGCTAACTGCGCAACCAAGAGTTGACTGGCCCATTTACAATACAAATTAGCGCAATCTGACACACTTCTCTTCACAGTAAAAAAGGATGCGCCATTATTTTCCCTGCAGGCAGGATTCCGGCTCAATTGCCATTTACACTGTTTGTCGTAGTTCGCTCTGCCGAGACAGTCCTGCGCTAACAATAACAACGGCACCGGTTTGACGCGTTAAACTGTAACGTACATCCTCCCGAAGCATCCTACATTCACTGCATTCACTCGCAACCTGCCACTGAACTTCACCCGATTGCGTCACAAGCCGGATTTACGGCTCTTTCACAACACTCCTCAACGGTTTTACTGCCCGTGATAACACACCAGATAAAATGTACTATGCAAATTACACGACTATTCAAACAATCAAATTTGAATACTACGGCCAAACGCGCAAACTGATAACTTCCATAATTTACAACGATACAGTTTTGTATCCAATGCGGCTACGTTGATAGGTAGAACAATACAATTAAATAATACTTAATCAGCTACGTAATCAACACAATTTCACACAAGTAACACAGCTCAACTAACGACCACTTCAGTCCGAAAGTACTTTTCGCAATAATTGTAACCATGCAAATTTTCAACTTTAACACGCGTCGTGAGTCTGGCGCCATAAATAATTTTCACACTGTTTACTGTTTACAAAATTTATTTTTGAAACATTAAATTACTGAAAATAACTTAATAGAAGGGCATGATTTACGTTATTTTAACTATTTAATTTTCAAGGCTGTGCTTTTCATAAGTTTAAAAGGAAATTAAATGTACGGTCAGACCAGCAATGATGAATAGGGTATTTTGACATAGCGTATGAAGAATCGCCGTGAGAAACGTACACATTAAGGAGTTTATTACGGTTGAGAAGCGCTGAGTCTCTCTCACTCACCGAAAATGTGATTAGTCCCGTGGGCATAATTGGTCTGACTCGGCGCTTGATTGCTGGAAGCGGGAGACGAGTGGAAGGGCTGCTGACGATGACAAATGGCCGGATGAGTGAAGGTGTCCGCTGGGGAGGGCACCAAGTCGCTCATGGCCTCCTCCAGCGCGTCCAGACTGGCGGCCAGGCTCAGCGGCAACGGCGAGGCCAGCGGCGACTCGCGACTGCCCGGCGAGGTGGGCAGCTGCGCCGTGAAGGACTTGAGGAGGTCGGGATCGTCGGGGTCGATGCCCTCCCAGCCCGCCACGTCCTCCAGACAGTCCATCAGCTCCGACAGGCTCACCACCGACTCCCGCTCCTCCGACTCCAGCTCGTCGCAGCCCGCCGCGTCGTCCCAGGGGTTGGAGGACACGGCCGAGGCGTTGGTGTCCAGCGAGACTGAGCGGATGACGGGCAGGGGCAGGGACACGGGCAGGGGCGGCGGCAGGACGGGGAGGGGCGCGGGCAGCGGGGCCAGCTTCTTCTCCAGGGCCAGGGGGGCCGGGGCGGGGGCCGGGGCGATGGGCAGGACTTTGAGGTTGAGTCGCGAGGGATTGTTGGTGATGATGAGCTGCGTGGGCTTGTTGCTGTTGCAGTGCTGTAGTGCGGCTGACGGGACACTAAGCAACCTGTACTGTGGCTGTGCAACTGCAGCAGACTGCGCTGCGGTCACGCTGGTTGACGACTGGACAGCTGCTTTGACCTTGAGGCTGGCCGTCGCCGCGGGCTGGCAGCGCAGGGCGGACGTCTTGGCCAGCGTGTGGCTGTGGCCGTCGGATTTGATGATGATGGGCGTCTTGTTGGAGAGGACGCCCACGGGCAGATTCAGCGACAACGTGGGCATGTTGGCGCGCGCGATCTGGATGGAGGATGTGGAGGGGGATTTGAGTTTGCTCTCAGTGGCGATTACAGTGGCCATTCTCTCCAGCTACACTGCTCATACTCTCCTACGCGGAAGGAAACAAAGAGTCAGATAGATCAGCGATTGATAACAGCTGCTGCACGATAGATAACAGCTACTCAATGCCACACCAGCAACAGTTGCGAAATCACTGGCACACACAACTAATTTGCCAACTCGACGCCGGTTGTCTGCGTTTCAACTTGAAGCAGGCAGTACAGCGCTATCCGGCTATCGCTATCAGATACGTTTTTCCTACGCTGCAGTCGACTGTATGGCTATGCTGGCAAACGTGCGTGCAATCTGCAAAAAGCTGCAGTCTGGTCTTCTGCCAAGTCGAGCTGTTTCGCCGAATGCGGATTCACCACTCGATGTCGCAATCACGCCGGTTCTGCCTGTGCGCTGTGTGTGCAGGCGAAAACACGTACGAATACGCTGCAGTGGCTGCACACAGCAGCAAGTACGTACAACACACGGCCACCATTCAACACACTGAACACACTGCTGCAGCTTTTATTCACATGTACGGCTATTTGCGCAGGCCACGGCACGATTCCAGGAAACAATCCAACTCGGCGAAAGTATGCAAGCTCAACTAAGCGGAGAAACCGGTTTGCAACAAAGTTTGCTTGAAAGTCAGTAAAGTTGTAGCGCTAATGATACCCAAGCATCGTCTCATCTTCAAAACCCAGACAATCGCCTAAATTCAACTACAGCATCTGTCTGGCCCCATTCATTGCACTTTTGGAACAATTATTTACAACGAAGATTTAATTTTTGCAGGGCAGCTAATTATTATCCCAAGCAACAAAACGAAAAATTAAATTCAACAAATTTCACTGGCCAATTTTCTTGAAAATTAATTTCTCTTTAGCCGCTTTGTTGTTAGGTACGTATTCATTTCACAGTGGATACTCATTTCATATTAATTATTAAACAAATTTCAACCACAATTGAGCAGTTACTGGTGACTGGAAAGTGGAAACAATACTTAATTTAATAACATGACTCGTAAAGTTATTACTTAATTATGCAGTGAAATTTCACAGTACTATACACTTAATTAACTGCTCGTATTTAATCAGACATGACATTGTTGCTCATGTTCTTAAAATTATGGCTAATTTCGCAAAATAAATACTTTCTCAGTTACAAATTTCCATTCAGCGCAATTTCATGAATGAGAAGCGAGATCTCATTCATCACGTGCATGACGTACGAGTACGTAGTAAAATTATCAAGATCAATAATGAGATTACAGAAATACGTACAGTACTGAAAGATGCAAGGAGTACAATAAGCCGTTAAGCAAAATGAATACTTAAATAAGCAATCATTTGCCCTTAGTAACGCAATGCACTCCCATAATAATTCTCAAGCCATACCTCTTTTTACTGAATTCTTACATGTTAACTCCTTAATCAACATTCAGCACAGCACGCCTTTGACTACGACAGAGAAGAATCAATAATAATGTCACAGACTCACAGCATTAATCTGCGCACTGTTTAATCTTTACACTTAATTTTCCGTCTATCAATTACGGCGATGTAGGGCGTTAGCTTCCCGTCGTCCGTAGCCAGTCTTTATTCTGATTACTTTTAATTATGTCCGTTTTGCAAAGGAATCAACAGCAGGTGCAGCCAGTGCAGCTGTACCCAGTGTACTGTTAATAACTGCTCTGCATATTATTACAGTGTACAGTATACTACTCGACTGAGCCGCGCTCTTGTGAATGGCCATTGTCCTGTCTAGTGTCCCTCGCTTTAATATCGCGCGCAAATCGCCTATCAGTGCGATCTATAGCCCGGATTAGTCAGCGATGCACGGCGATCGCGAGGATGTGGGCTGTTTAGTCTGGGCCGAGCGTGAGAACGCCGGCGCGGAAAGGAACCCGGAAGGGAGTTGTGTCTCTGCTCTGCGCTACTCGCTGCTGACTCGTCAAGGGCAAAAAGATCACCCCGACCAACACAACCCGATCGATGAATAAATCATCAGCCACACAAAAACTCACTGCATTCCCCAGACACCAGGCCGCGCGTAGCCTCTCGTGGCAGCGCTTTGACGAAAAATCAATCGACCGTCAACTTTTTGCAACCTACTACACATTGTGCATCTGCGTACGCGCGTAAACAGGTGTTCGCTGGAGTAGTACTACTCACGCACACCGCGCCAACGTACGGTTGCCGTGGCAACAAACGGCCAAGCAAAGGACAAGGACTCGCAGCCAAGTACGTTTGTTTAGCCAACCGGTTTCTTTTTGAGCTGATTCACTTGCATTTGTTATTACGCTACAGTTCCCCTGTCAATAATCGTCCGCACACGCTGCACTTTCCGCCAGATAAGTGAGAAGACAACTCTACTCTGCTTCCTCCATTCCAGGGGCGCGCTGCACTTGAGCGCGCTACGCAACCCCGTTCAGGTTGCTCATCCCCGTTGCACGGAAACCGTCGCCTTGCGCTGGCAAGGCAGCCAGAGCGTTTACCCGCAAAAATGACTGACAGCATTACTTTCATTCCTATTCAAACGGCTCTCTTCAAATCATTTCAATACCAACAATCAATGTGATTTTGCCTTTGTTTCACATTTCCAACTGATTTCAGCCATGAGCAAACAATTTACTGACAACCATGGAATTCGTACGCCTTGTACTGTACATAAGGATAGGATAATCAGTCAAACGGTTTTAACGGGACGTTTTTTTCTTAAATATAACTGACTACAGATTCAAAATCAGCACATTTTTATAGCCGGGAAACTATTTTCCAGAACTACTTTAAACAATCAAAAAAACCTGACTGCCATCCACAACCACAAGAACCGCCCTGGGTGGTTGCAATGGAGTCATAGTCAAAAACTTTTATTTTTGAAAACTGTTCTTGGAAGGATAAATTTCTGCAGCACCACCTCAGAAATTTCTTTTTATGAAATTCTTCATTCAGAAACCTCCAACAAATTTTCTGTCAAACATCTGAATAATCACTGTTAATCAGCGTTATTCATTCGAGCCGGAAAAAGTTTTCAAAACGCAGAAAATAAACTTTCGCTAGTGACTCCATCGCTACCACCCAAAGAGTTCACAACTTCACGGAGACGGCAGTAGAAATAATATTAACCGCTTATGATTTTAGAAAATTGTTTCCAGATCAGAAAAATTCGTTAATTGTGAATCTGCAATCAACTTTAATCAAAGAAAAAAGGTTGCCATAAACGATACGATTGTGGTTAAATGTAAGTCACCGACTTAAAACTATACTTCACAGCTAATATCAATTTATACCATTAACACGAACTTTCACAAAATCCCAAAATAAGCATTAACGGTAACTAAGAAGGTTGCGTAACAGTAGCGCAGAAACAGCCGTGCGAAATATCTCAGACGTCATTTACGGCCCGTGTAAATCCCAGATCGTGACAGCTTCCGCTGGGACATTTTGTGAAACGGATACAGTCTGCAATGACTTTGTACACAGCCGTGAGCAGATCTCAGAATACGGGCGCTGCACCGTAGTCTATTGCGTTCTGCAGTCTTCTACACAGGCTGGAAGTGGAGACTGCTACCCTACTCTATCGCTCAACATACGGGCAATTCGGCAAGCACTGGCCAACGCTGTGTGCGAGCAAGAACGCAAGAACGCCGGTCGCCTCGCCGGGCCATTTCGCAATCGCGACTAATATGCCGTGTCGACTGGCCTGGCCGGGCCCAGCCGCGTTTACATTCCGACGCACAACGGCTGTGTCCACGCCCCGCTCACTCAGCCTCTTGCTCATCAGCTGGTCAGCGCCGGAAAGCATCAAATCATCGAGAATATGTCTGTTCATTGGAGTAAAGGCTGCGGCCTTTACTCTTTAGGCTTTAACCTGCTCGGGACTTGTCTTCAACAATTTAATTCGACCTTTTTACATGTCTGTGATTTTCATCAGCATCGATGACGCTTATCGCCAGGAAAATCGCCAACTGCAGTCGGAACGAGCCGGCGAAACCGGCACTTATCTGGCCTTCTAAATCTCTCAATGGCCGGCGCAAATGCATGGCTGCTGCGCATAAATATCCTCGACTATTTTATCGGAAAGGCAAGCCACGCGGCGGCGCTCATCGCCGCACATCACTGTACTTAGATATCGGCGACGGCTTCGCTGAGTGTGAGGCTGCGAATGCGATAGATAGTTTATTAATAAATCGTAAGTGTACAATTAGAGAAGGTAGAAATTAGGTCGCTCTACTCTGCTAGGCAGACAGTGCAGTCTGGCGGATGAGCGAGGCAGCCGCGGCTGCAGTGCACACTGTACAGCGCAGCCGCTTCATCTGGGCAAACAGCCACTCACGCCCGCAGGCCGCAGCGCAGCGGAGGTTGCAGCCTGCAGCTGCAGGTGGAGAGCGGAGACGGGCTACGTTGCCTGCCATTAAGAGCAAATACTGTACGCTCTAATCAATTGACGAGCAGAGCAAACTTAAAACAAGGTTATCTATCCGCTGCAGATTATGACACCTACACAGCTACACAGGCTGCACAGGCACTGGCTACTATTTATAAATAATCTCCTGGGTCAATAATTTGCGCCCGGCCAGGCTGCCAAGCAGTGCAGCCATGGCACGGACACAATGCAACATCGATACATCGCTGATTAGGGCATTCTCGGCGTTATCAATTATCGCGCAGGCAAAGCGCCGGTGCCGCGCGTTGCAGCACTGATAACGTGATAGCCCAGCCAAACACAGGTATCTCACCCGCTTTTTCTCAACGAACGTCCTCGTTACGCCGCTACGCCAGTGCCACCGACAGGCTGCGTGTATGCATCAGCGCAGATGCTGGCATAGTGAAACCATATGTTGCGGTGCCGTTTAAGAAGAACTAGCCCCTTTTGACTGCCCCCCGCGGGCGCCGGATACCAATACTGGCAGGCGATTACTTTTGCGCAATTACCACCAAATAACTCTTCACTACCGACTGCAAGCCATGCAGAAAAACAGAGAAACGGACACTCTATCCTCGGTCACACTCACGACACGAACATACGGTTGCATTACATACCTGGCGATTTTGCGTGGCAGGCCAGAGCAGACTGCGCAGTTCAGCGGCGCGTAGTGCTGTCAGCAGTTAACTCCGAAGAGACAGCGCGGAAAACTGCCTAAATACAGCGAGAGGCCTCTTGAACAATCCACAACACTTGAAAAGTGGGTTTGCGATTTTACAACCAAAACGAGACCGTCCACTTATTTCTCAATCAGACGCTACTCTCGCTACGTATTCACGTATGACGGTATGCGCTATAGCTATTAGCTACACGATATGGCAGGCTGCAGAATACAGATAGCTGATTTTCATTTACAAGTACAGACATACACCGTCGCATCGATGCGCGTACTGACTCGCATTCCAAAAGTGAAATCGAAGAAATGAATTCCTCCGATAAACAGGCAGCAGCGTTAGCGTCTACATGTGTGTACTGCTGTTGCTGCAATCGAGAAACGCCGGCCGGCCGGCGTTTCAACATCGACAACCACCATTCACACACCAAATATTATGCGCCCGCCTTCGAGCACCGGCGCACAGGGAAAGTGCGCAATGATCGCCAGCAAGACTAACTACACTTTTCAGTTTACTTTACAGACTTTGCGCGAAAAAGCAAGAAAATTAATATTAATTTAGCAATACGAAAACGGCACCCGCCCAACGCCGTCGCTTACCTTGACACACACAGCCAGCAGTCAGGAAACAGAAATGAGCAAGTTATACTGTTATAGTAAGTAATCCACAAAACGAGAAATGAATAAATAACACCCAGTCTGCGCAAATCCTGTCTTTCTTGGTACGAGCCAAGGGAATGAAAAACGTAGAGTTCAGAAAAAACAGGCACACAGTATACCTTAGTGGTTGTTTCAGCACAGTTGATAATAATTAATTAATTACTGAAATGAACCGTTCATTGTGGTGAAATTTCGCAAGCAGAGTGCTGCGTAAATGAAGTGCAGAAGTGGCAGACTGCATTGGGCTGTCTACACCGCGGTGCAGCCGCGTTATTGTAACGCGCGCCGTTCATCGCGGCGTCTGATTGGCTGACTGCATCTCTCTCTGCGCCCTATGCTGCGCTGTCTGAGCTCAAACCGGAAAGGCAGCCGTGGCAGGCGGCAGGGCGGGCGCTGGCAGGCAGCACGCTGCAGCCTGCAACTGCGTGCGCTGTGCGGAATGAACTGGAGCATAGAAACCTGGATAGTCGCGTACATTTCTGGCGTACTACGAGTCCTCATTCTGCAATCAGCAGCCAGTCGATGATGTCATAGGCTGACTTACCATTATTTTTCTCTTCCGCCGCGTGGCCCACTCTCATTTTCTTCCCGCGTTGCACCGCTCCACCGCCACGGATAATCCAAAAGAAGATAATCAACAGGAAATATCAATAACACGCTTTGAATACCGGCTTTAATGTTAAAGGCCAATACGAAACCTCGACGGCCTCTACGATTCAGTCGATGACTCGATACTTGCTGATACTGCGTGTAAAATTAATATTTATACAGTATCAATAAGACTTAGTATTAAATTATTATTTCATGTATTTAAATATTAAAATATTATAATATTTAAACATTTATGCAACCGTAATATAAATTTATACATCATATGTACCACAGTAAAGTACATCATTCGTACAATTAATTTTATTATTATTAAATATTAACAATGTAAGTGCTAGTATTGCAAATATTTTTAAATGCACTAGCATTTAAAATAATTATTTTAACGTAAATACTGTACTTCTATTAGTAATATTAGTACGTGGAAGGAGTGTCGGCGCTCTCGCATTTTGTCAATACTCTCTTTACTAGGAAGTGTGAAGACTTATGAACTACTATTACAGTCATTTACAGGATTTGATTATCGAATACAGTAAGTACTTATAATAATATTATCAGCTCAAAGCGACAAAATCGCTCGGTTAAAAACTATTATGCAAAATAATTACTGGAATAAATACAACAGATGAATTCTGTCAGGCATCAGTTGCAGGTTGGCCAGTCTGCGTCTCACGCGGATGTGGTCATCGCGTTATTCACCAGAAACCGCTGCGCAGCGGGATGCCGATCGTTGTGTGTCTTCAATCTTGTGCATCTGACATCACCGGCAATTTACTGTACTTACTGCAGGAGAATTCCCTGCCATTTGCCAGAGCCCAGACAGAACCGGCATCAGATTCTCCTTCTCCCGATGGCAGTCGATGCGACGCCGGTTGGCCGACTAAGGCCTTGTCCCGAATTCAAAGCGAATCTCGCTATGGTACGGTTGCTCAACCGCACGAGGTGGCTGTATGCAGTGGCCACGCCTACAGATACGGTACGCGAAGCCACCTCGCGAGGTGGAGTTGCTGTATCGCAACGAGATTCGCTTTGAATTCGGGACGAGGCCTAAGAGTTGTCGCCGGCATCGCAAAGTCTAATGTTCTATTTAACTGCGACATGCACCGATCCAGAGACAGCCGGGGTAGCGTTTGCGGTTACGCAATCGACTAGTGGTGCGGTTTCTGCTTTCCGCTGCAGTGCCAGTGCGGACTGCGGAGAAACCGGGCGCGATAAATATATAGCGTATTTTTGGCATGTCTATCGATATGGCGTATCGTTAGCACTTCGGGAACATTTCTCTATCGGCAGCCGCGGGCCAATTTCGCAACGTTGCCGCAACGTTAACGCAACGCCGCGACGTGCAGCACGTTACTACGACTAATGATCGACAGCTGGCCTCCTTCGTAAATCGCGATCGAACGCCTTCATTACGATTCAATTAACCAACGCAACTCACAATCAAATAAAAACTAATAAACATAAACACGAATTAAATAGTCAATGATTTTTAATACGTATCTTATAATTATACTATTCTACCAGTTGAACTAAATAGTTACTAAATCTCTAGCCAGATAAAAAACCATTCTGCCTTGATTTTCTGTTTATTTTAGTGGAATCAGACAAGAAAAAATAAGCACAAAGGGACATTTACTACTCGTAGAGAAAAACAAGTAAATTAAAATGAAGTAAATGAAATAAGAGCGCGGGATGCACATGCAGTGGAGAGGGAAAGCGGAAGAGAGAAAGATGGGCAAAATAAACAAGTGGCGTCGCGGCGTTGACGGGCAAAGCAACGGCTGGGATAAGCAACGGCTGGTGGGCTGCTCTCTTCTGTTTATTCCGCGCCGGCGTGCAGAGTAAACAGAGTGTTGACCGCTCTCACCCGCCAGGCCAGCCGCAATCTTATCGCCCGCGCCTTATCGTCCACAAACCGACACCGCCGTCCACACCGCACCGCACCGCACCGCACCGCCGCCGCGGGCCCTGTCCCCCGTTGCGAGCGAGGACGGATCCAGTCAGAACAGAGCTAGTCCTCGAGGAAGAAGTAGTTGCCGCTGCGCTTCTGCTCCGTGTCCTTCACCGAGGCCTTCTTGTTGATGCGCGGCCGGAAGTTGTCCGGGTCGCGGCGGAAGGTGACGTCCAGCGACTCCAGGAACTCGTTCATGCCCGCCAGCAGCGTCTGCGGCCTGTGCAAAGGAAACAAAGGCAATCAACACACAGATAAATCGTCAATCAACACGGCCGCACAGCGTTCCAGGTGAGCCGCAGCCGTATCAACGTCCACGCAGTCACAGGCCTGTTTATCGCGCCCGCGGGGTCAAACTGCACGGCTGGTTATTTATTTCCCTTGCAGTTGCAGCTTCGCTACATTTAATCAGCACGATACATTTAATCACAACAAGCATCAGCCGATACCCGCAACCAGATAGTTTGATAGCGTCGCATTAACGGAATTTCTCAATCAGCTGACGCCGCGTTAAGGCTGCAAGCTTAACTGCGCGTGGCATGGCGCGCTGCCCGGGCCCCGGGCCCGACCAGACAAAAAACACATTTTCCCACAGACTGCCAGTGCGCGCAAGCAACAACCTTGTGCCTGGCGGACGCACTGGACTGGACAACGCGGCTGCCAGTAATGGCCTCCGCGTTGCATAAGGCGGCCTAACGCTTATCTAACGGCCATCGGCCATCGCCGGCCGATAACGAAAGCGCCAGTCCACATTTGCAAACCTAATTTGTGCAAATCCACTTCCGCACACCGCCTCTCTACCTCTGCCTGCACAACTACACACTGCAGGCCAACTGACAAAGCAAAAAACACTGCAGTTGTGTGCTGCCAGTGCCGGTCCTGTCAAAACAATGTCTTACTGATTCTAATATTTTAACCAAAAATAATTTTGTCATAAAAGAACAGAATAAAATGGCCCAGTCTACAAGCACTGCACTATACCAGTACATTTTTATATGTGTTTATACGATAATATTCCTGAAACTTTTAAAATCCAGTCGCTAGCAGTCTGCAATCTACAGTACTGCTGGCCATTTTTCAAGATAATCATCATTCGAAATTCATATATATCTGTACTAAGGAACGACCGTCCTAGGAAAATGGAATTCCACGGATGGAATCCAATTTCCAAATCCGCGCTCCTCGCGGGCGGCTCGGATTTGGAAATTGGAATTTAGGAAATCCGTGGAATTCCAATTTTTGCTTGGAATTCCAGATTCCCTGTATTTGGAATTCCAAGCGCATAGAAATGTCAGGGAAAAACAATGAAAACAAAACATTTTTCGTGTTGTTTTTCGACAGGTGGCTGCAAATTTTTACATTACCTCGTCTTCCGGTCTCAAACGATTTATTTTGAAAATAGCGTTTCTATTTTATTGTTTCTATAGTTACTGTTCCTATTTTATTTCTTTTGTATTCTCAATAGATCAGGAAGTCTGCTTGATCTATCCGAGAGAAAACAATGTTCTTCTTCAAAAATTTGCATATTTCGGTCACCTGGTGTTCAGATTTTCTGGCAAAACAAATATACTAGAAAGACTTAGCTCATATAATAATTCGAAGCATGAACTTACAAAAATCCATAAAAGAGCAAACAGAGGACAGAAATTCGACCGGCTGCAACGTAAAGGAACCGCTCTTCAACATTTGCAGAATTCAGAAATTTCGAGTTCAATCATTTTTAATTTTTCTATCAAAGTAAGTCAAAATATGAAACCGTATACTTAAATTGACCAAAACAAGAGAAAAATCAAAGTCATCCTCTTGGAAAGGATGATACGGAGATATCTAACGGCAGCGCTCAGTAGCTAACAATCTACAATCTGCCGACTTTTGATGTTGTTTTTCGCTTTCTTCAACTTGCGTATGCATGGCCGACAGTATTCGTAAATCGTACCGGTACTATACTATACAGTCTATACTACAGCAGCATATTACTGCCAGTCTGCCTTGGTTTATGATAGGCAGATAGTAAATGTTTAGGTTTCTTTAATCTGTTTGGAGTTTCAAATAAAGTTTTTAATGACGAATGCGCAGTAATTAAGCAGCTGAAGTTAATCAAAATGATTTTTTGTTCATAGTTATGTAAATAGATAGTTAAATAACGGTTTTCCAACGAAAACTAAGAAATCCTTGGAATTACGGAAATCCGTTTGGATTTCCGTAAATCCACGGATTCCATGGAATTCCATGGCAATTTCCTTTCCAAATCCTTTCCACGGGCTCGCGCCCGTGGATTTGTCCTCCTTAATCTGTACAGTATGTAAGCGAAAGTACCAAGAAAAAAGAATCAGTCACATGCAGGTCATATGTGCAATACGCACATTCCTCTCCCTTCTGAATGCGACAAAATCTATTATCGATAGAATTCATTTTAGCTTATTTTCATTCTACTATTATACATATTATGTGAAGTTAACTTATTTATTTATTGTTTACCGAAAAAAAGCCGAAAATTCAGAAAAAAACTATGTATCTTTTTAATTTGTCTTATCAATGATCACCTTATTATTGAAAAGCAGAATGCAGAAAAGCAGACAACAGCTACAGATACTAGTACTACTCCCCGTGACTGTACTTGCATTTATTGTAAAGCCCGTTTTGGCGCGAGAAAGGCAGTAGACGAAGGATGCGTAGGAAACGATCGGCTAATTAATGAATATGGCAACTTTAAACTTACGACTTGGCAGTGGCGTCGACGGACGGCGTCCCGGTGAAGACGATGACGCGGTCGGCCAGGTAGGTGGCCATGATGAAGTCGTGCTCCACCACGAAGGCCGTCTTCTTGGCGTGCAGGATGAACCTGCGCAACAATTCAGTTCACTTCATTCAAATAAAATAAGTGCAATTCACTAAATGAAAGAAATGCAAGTCTGTAAATGAATACAATTCAACTACTGTAAATAAACTCCAACCAGCTAATAAATAAAAATAAAGGAATCGGAATCAATTCAATGAATTATTAATAAAATAAAATCAATTCAACCGGCTACAGCTGGGCGCACACTCTCAGTGGCAGTTCAAGTGGCCTGCACTGCAACTGCATAAACGAGGCGACTGACCGCTTGATGACCTTGGAGGCCACCAGACGCTGCTCCGAGTCCAGGTAGGCGGACGGCTCGTCGATGAGGTAGACGTCGGCGGGCTTGCCCAGACAGACCGTGATGGCCACGCGCTGCAGCTCACCGCCGGACAAATTCTGCACCTCCAGGTCCATCAGCGCCTCCATGTTCAGCGGCTTCATCACGTCGGTGACGAACTGCGGGTGCACGTAGGCGTCGCGGATGCGCTCGTGCAGCAGCAGGCGCACAGAGCCCTGGAACTTCGGGCTGATGGCCTGCGGCTTGTACGACACGTTCAGCACCGGCACTTCCCCTGCAATTACCCGCATAAATGCACATTTCATGCTTCTAATTCATATTTATATCGTTTTCTAAGTAGGCTTGAATTATTCCTTTAAATTTAGTATCTGACTGCTTTTAAATTTTGTTATTACTAATTTGTTATCACTTTAAGACTTCAATTAATGTTTTATTTGTGTCAACTGACCTCCGTCGTCGGGCTCCAAGCGGCCGGCGAGCATCTTGATGAAGGTGGTCTTGCCGGTGCCGTTCTCGCCGAGCATGACGACGATCTCCGAGTCGGTGAAGCTGCCCGGCTCGATGGTCAGGTGGAACTTGGCGAAGCGCTTCTTCATGGCCGGGTAGGTGTACTGCCGCATGCGCTTGATCTCCTCCTCGCTCAACTGGTCCGAAACCTTGAAGGACAGCGCCGCCTCGCGGAAGCGCAGGTTCTCCGACGGGATGAACCCGTCCAGGAAGATGTTGATGCCTGTGGCAATCAAAACATATTACAGCCCTCATTAACGAAACAGTCTCCCATAAATCTCAATTATAAGTTAACGGTTAATTGCACTGGCGTTGTTAAAGTCCTCAAGCGGAAATGAAAGCGGTAAAGGAAGAAGCCAGACTGACCGTCTCTGACGCTGGAGGGCAGCGTGACGACGCCGTAGCAGCCGGGCATGCCGTAGAGGCAGCAGATGTAGTCGGAGAGGTAGTCCAGCACCGACAGATCGTGCTCCACCACCACGACGTAGTTGTCGTGCTGCAGCAGGCCGCGGATGGTCTGGGCGGCCTTCAGGCGCTGCTTCACGTCCAGGTAGCTGGAGGGCTCGTCGAACATGTAACTGCAAGACAGCTGGTTAAGCAAGAGGACGCGACAGTCACCACACTAGTCAGTGGTCACGCACATGGTGGCCGTCTGGATGCAGGTCATGGCGATGCAGAAGCGCTGCAGCTCCCCGCCCGACAGGTCGCCCACGTTGCGGTCCAGCACCGTCTTCAGGTCCAGCGCCTCGATGATCTCGCCCTTGATCTGGCGCTCGTCCTTGCGGGCCAGATGGTGGCCGACGGTGCCCTGCAGAACCAACCCAGACTTGTCAAAGTGAATACAGTCAGTCTCCCCACAGTTCCATTCCTTCGCACCGTGATCTCCTTGCCGATGCGGTCCACGTACTGCAGCTTGACCACGGCCTTGAGCTTGTCCTCCAGAATGCGCGTGAAGTAGTTCTGCAGCTCCGACCCGCGGAAGTACGTCAGCACCTCCTCCCACTCGGGCGGATCCTAAAGACAGACAGACAACGGTGAAGGTGAAGCCATGCAGAAAGGGGTGCCTCTTTCTATTGCCCACTGACCACGAAGCGGCCCAGGTTGGGCTTCATCTTGCCCGAGAGGATCTTGACGGCCGTCGACTTGCCGATACCGTTGGTCCCCACCAGCCCCAGCACCTGCCCCGTGCGCGGCATCGGCAGCCGGTGCAGTTTGAACGAGTTGGCGCTGCAACCAATCGCCAGTCAACCAACACTGCACAACTGCACTACACTGAGTGCAATACTCGTACACTTCATTTCAACCATATTGCGTATTATACAAGTAACAATACAGTAACAAAAATTCCACATTCACAGTGCATTCCACGCTCACACAACTTCATTTAACTTCGTTTGTCAAGTTTACTTTTTCAACTTTTAGTCTACTCAGTACTGTAATCTACCTATTATAATTTAAATCAGAATTTTGATTTAATTTGATATATACTTCAGTCAGCTCATTTAACTGTTTCACAGCATTACCTGAATCGGTGCGTGGTGTCCTTCTCCAAATTGGAGGGCAAATTAATAATCTGGATGGCCTCGAAGGGGCACTTGCGCACGCAGATACCGCAACCAATGCACAACTCTTCGGAAATGAAGGCCACGCGGTCCGTCGGCGTCACTTCGATGCACAGCTTGCCTGCAGTCACAAATCACCACTTTAGTACTGTATTTACGTTCCATTCTATGGGGAAAATCGGTTGGTTTCGCATAAATGTCGTTGAAAACGGTACATTAACGACAGAAAATGATTCCCGTAGTTTATTCTTATTTTATAACCCAAATTCTTCAGAAAAAGCCTCCTTGAAGGCGATTAATCGAAAGTGAAACGCGGAAATTTCCAACAGCATCCAAACATGCAGCGAAAATACCGCCGAACTGGGCGGTGGTAATTGCGACACATGCCGGAAGTCCCTGAATTCCCTCGTCTGCACTGTCTAGCCTTTATATCTTCGGGAAATTTCAATGTAATAAAATGTAAAAGAGATTTATGCAGGAGTACGGGATAGCCCGTCGAAAATCGGTTGCACAATTTTCGAGATAACATCATAACGTACTGAAGCGTCACCCACGACTGCCACGTTGATTAACAGCATGCTAGGGATCGTTCAAAATCGGAAGCTCACCCAGCTCCCAGGTGAATCGGAATACACTCAACGAAACAGAAAAACTTGGAACTTTTAATGGCTCACCCATGCGCACCACGGGGCAGGAGCGCTTGCACTCCTGGCGGCACTTCTTGGGCTTGCAGCGGTCCTCGTTGACGATGGCGATGCGGGTCAGGTTCTCCTGGGTCGCGATGCCGCCGCCGCCTCCGCCTCGGCCAGCCATCCCTACACAGCCACTCGTTAATTCCCTCTGATCATCAACACAATTTCCCAGATTGTTACGGCCCTTCCCAGGCCGTACCGTTCGTGGAAACGCCACGACAACTCACCAGCTGCTGGATCGCCGAACGACGCTGCGCACGCACTGCCTTCGATTAAAGACGCAAATTCACGTCCACACTGGGCCCAGCCTGGTTTCTTCCACAATCCAGGAAATTCAATAGCACTCGTAAAACACAATCTTTCCCAGCCTCGAATGTACAGTAATACAATTAAGCAATGGAAGAATTCACAAGGAGTAAAAAAACTGGTTGGTTTTCTGTTTTTACAAGCGCAGCACAGACTGCGCAGTTCAGCGACCTAGATCGGCTGTCGAGTTACTTATTAGATTACTCGCATCTGTTACTTATCAGTTATCACTGCGTGACATCACCAATCTTGCACACCGCCACATGGAGTAGTTTGGCGGGCAACGAGCCAAAATCTCTGTCTGTCCTTCTCGAGGCGGCGGTGTGCTGATAGTTCAGTTCTGATTTGAAATTCAGCGTAAACCGCGCGCAGAATTCGTTACAAAAATAACGAAATTTTTTCTTCTTATTTTCAGTTGATGATTCGTGGCTGAAATTTTTTGACTATGAATTCTGGTAAGAGTCTGTTGACTGTATTTAGCCGTGGCTTCATTTGGCCGTCATCCTCCTGGTGTCGACTGCCAAGCGGACCAAGCTCGTTTCGCGCCTTGGCCAGCATCAGCAGCAGCACGGAAGCAGGAGCGCAGCGCGACGAGCAGCAGCTGACTCCGGAAGAGCGCAACCAGCGGGCTCACGAGCAACTCAGAGTCCAGTACGAGGCTGCTCAAGAAGCAGGTGGGAAACAATCGCACGCTGAAGGAAGTGTCGAGGAAAAGGACGCTGACGATGAGAAGAAGAAGAAAAAGAAGGACAAAGCGCAACAGCAAGCGAGCGTCAGTGTGGCGAGCATTCCCCGTCGCGCGGTGATGTACGTGCCTGGCGACGACGAGAAGAAGCTGGCCAAGATCGCGCACCTCCGCGTCGACTGTCCCGTGCTGGAGTGCGAGGACGGAGTGGCCTTTCTCCGCAAGGTAACGCCGTTTTCGTCTTGTTTTGCCATATCCCAAACTTGGTGAAAACCCGTTTTTGATAACTGTTTATCATTCTGGGAAGCAAGTGTGCTCAACTACGCTGCCGCCCCGGGTGGTTGTAATTGCTGCAAGCACCGGAAGTTCTTGAACTTCTTTTCTTTGTAATCGTCTGCTTTGAGATTTTTGTCAGTTGTGAAAGAACTTAAGTAGGATAGTGATTTCCACAAAAACAGAAGCCAAGTCGAAGGTAGTAGATCGTGCGCCTTTCGAGCTAGTGATTAAACCCAATTTTTCTGACGATAAAAACTGGATTAATAACCACAGTAGACTGTCTAATCGGGCGGTTGTAACTGCGTCAAGCACCGGAAGTGCTTGCATTTCCTTCCTTTACGTTGTTCAGCGTCGAGATTTTCGAGCAACATGAACAGAATAAAATAGAAAGGTAATTTCCACAGAAACTAAAGTTAATCCGAAAAAGGTTGATCGTATGTGCCGTGAGCTATCCGCCTTGAAACAGTTTTATGCGCGAAATAATTGGTCTTCCGGCTGCCGCACTGTTGACTGTCTGGTTGCTGGTTTCGCACAGGAAACGGCTCGCAACCTGATCGTGCAAACACTGAACCGCGCCCCCTGGGTGCGGCAGCGCCTCTCCCAGGGCCGGGACGTGGCCGTCCGCGTCAACGCGCTGGCGTCGGGGCTGGCGGAGGCCGACCTGGCCGCCGTCCTGTCCGCCGAGCAGCTGCCTTCCACCCTGCTCATCCCCAAAGTGGAGGACAAGGACGACGTGGAGCACATTGCCCACCTCTTGCAGCAGCAACTGGCGGCCCGCGCCACCCCCCTGGTGTCGCCGCTGCGCCTGATCATGTACACGGAGAGCGCGCGCGCCCTGCTGAGTTTGCAGAAGACGCTGAAGACGGCGCTGAAGCTGGCCGACAAGAGCGAGGGACTGTTCCGCGTGGACGGCATGGTCCTGGGCTCGGACGACCTCTGCGCCGACATGGGCGCGCGGCGCTCCAAAGAGGCCGACGAACTGGTGTTCGCGCGGCAACACTTCCTGGCCGTTGTCAAGTCCTTCCAGCGCCAACTGCAGGCCATCGACCTCGTCTACATCGACTACAAAGGTCACCATTGCTGTCACTATTACTATCTTTTCTTCTGATGTTTTTGGTGTCGTTTGGTCGTATTAATATTTTTAACAAAATTCTGTCTGTCTGCAGACGCGGCGGGTTTGCAGCGGCAGGCGGAGGAGGGCGCGCGCTGGGGCTTCACCGGCAAACAAGTCATTCATCCCGGCCAGATCGACGCCGTGCAGGCCGCCTTTGCGCCCTCGCAAGACCAGGTGCAGTGGGCGCAGCAGCTCACCGCGGCCTTCCAGCAGCACCAGCAGCAGGGAAAGGTTAGTCGCCTACTGTTAGCTCAACTTGGCTGTGATTTTTCTACAGCTGCTAATCTCCAGTTACTGGCACTGCCAGTTTAATTAATTTAATTTTAGATTTGTAATTATGAAATTTAATGTGTTGTTTTGGTTCACTTATTTCTATCTTCAGTTCTGGTTGAATTTGATTTGTTTTCTTGAAGTCAAGTTTCGTTACGGCCAGGGCCGTAGCGAGGTCCGTGGGATGGGGTAGGCGCAATTTGGCTGCGCCATTTGCGCCCGCTTCGAAGGTCAGTCTAAGCCCACTGCGCCCATAAATTTCGAAGCCTGCGCCCGTTGCGCCCGTTTAAACAGCCCTCGCTTTAATACTTTAATTAATAAAATTAATAATAGTGAAACCTGCGTACATTGAACACCTGCGGTTCCAATTTTTTCGTTCAATGTGGCCGCCTGTTCAATGTACAGAACAGCTGCCCCCCAGGGCCCTCCCCTGGGGTCAGTAGTTCTGCTGCTCCTGAGGGCGAACGGACGCCGCCTCAATGGGGACAACCCCGTTACCAAGCCTTTTTTATGCCTTTTTCGCGCATAACAAATCAAAAATCGTGTGGTGTTAAAGTTGGAACAAGCGGATGGCTAGTAAAATCTGGTCCGTTGAGCGCTTTTCTTGTGTTTTTTCGCTCCCAAAACCAATTTCTGGCGCTTTGTTCATTTTCGAAAGGGCTAAATATTAGTAAATAATTAGCTCCGTTCCAGCTAATTTGTTCCATGTTCACTTTAGAGAGATGTTCAATATACGCGAGGTCCCCCCTGTGTTATAATCTACGAGACGCGCCGGTTCCGTAATGACCGTTCAATGTACACCCGTGTTCAATTTGCGCGAGTGTTCAAAGTCACAGGTTGTAGTTTAATTATTATAGTTCTTGATCGCCGTACATCAGACCCAGGCACACATCCGGCCAAAGTCCACTCTGCGCCACGGGCGCACGGTCAGTGGCGCCCGCTGCGCCCTTTGAAAAATCCAGAAATTTTGCGCCCGTGCGCCTGTGCGCCAGTTTCGGACACAAATTTAATTCAAAAGTTGGTCGAGGAGGGGTAGGCGCGCGCCAGTGCGCCTATACCCTCGCTACGGCCCTGGGTACGGCCTTCCTAATCCTACCTAAGTAATGATGTGATTTTTTGTTTTTGATTCAGTTTATAATATATGGATATTCAGATGTTATTAGATTTGTTGTTTACGGTAACTTGTTTATGGCGTTCCCAATTTAATTAGATTTAATTTGTTTCATTTTCTTAATTATGGGTCTAATTGTAATGAATTGGATTTTTAATTACAGTAATTTATTTATGGCTTTCAAAATGGTGTTACCGAGTCGCTGGCTGATCTATTCTTCTCCGAACAGATTTGTATGCTTTCTGGCGGGAATTCGACAAAATTAGTACTTTGTGAAAATGCAACAGAAACTTGCATCGCGGTTATGTGACTATTTTCGTGTGCATTTTCAGGGAGCCTTTGTCTTTCGCGACAGCATGATCGATATGCCGCTTTTACTGCAAGCCAGAAACATCCTGCAACAGCACGAGGTCTTCTCTAAACAACAAGAGCAAGCAGCCACTTCCGCCCAGCAGTCAGCCAGCAACACCACCAAATCCCCGTCAAAGCCGGGATGAACATAATGGATACAAACCGAATAGCACAGCACAGAATTTATCTACTAATTCTAGCAACAATGTTCTAAACGGGCGCGTTGAATTAAACGGATACTGGAAAACACTGATTACTGTACATCATGTTTTGATGAACAGAAAAAATGATGCGACTTTATCTCTCGTGATATGTGAAATTATTAAGAATGACGAGTTAAAATTGAATAAGAATAATTAGCCGGAAGCGGCGCGGTTGGGGTGGGGCCGTGTGTGTAGAATGCGGCACAAACGATGAGGCCAATTATCGTCGCTAGTCAGGTGATGTCCTGGACGTAGGACAGGTAGCTCAGCAGGTAGTTGCGCAACGAGTACACCTGCACGTCCATCTTCTTGTAGCCTTCGAAGGTCGCGTACTCGTCCAGCTGCAGCTGCATCAGAGAAGCCAGCGCCTTCTACAAGCAGCAAACACCACTGACTACTTCACAATACCGGCCAATTACGCAGATGGACGAAGACAATCGTAATTCAAAATAAAAATAAATTTATTTCCATTTTCCAAACGGAAATTACCACCAAAATATAATATCATTAATGACGAATAGATAAGAATAATCAAGTATTAGCAAATAATCTACGGATGAATTGTCAGCTTGTTGCAGCCCCTCCAAACTAATTTCAACAATTGCTCTTCACGTCTGATATAACAAGTGCAAGTGCGGACTTTAGAGAGGAAGTAGGAAGGCACTGTACCTTGCTGGAGTAGAGCGTGAAGAGGAATTTGCCGGGCTTGAAGACGTGGAGGACGCGCTGGAGGATGTCCAGGTAGGTCAGGTGGCGACTGGCCGGGACGTTGGTCTCGAAGCTGACGTAGGAGAAGGCGGACTGCGGCGTCACGTGGATGGTGACGTAGTGGCCGCTGGGCAGCAGGCCGTTCATCGAGTAGCCGCAGGGGTCGAACAAAAAGTCGTCCATCTTCAGTCCGGGGATGATGCTGTCGATGGCCGCCTTCGCCGTGGCCTCCTGCGCCGTCGAGCAGCAGCGCCGCGTGAAGATCTCCATCACCTGTGCAAAACGCTCACAATCAGCTTAATCAACAGGAGAACTGGTCCAACGCGCGTACCGCGGGGTCCAGCTGCTCCATCATCACCTCCAGACTCTGGTCGTCCTCCGCCGGCTGGTTGCCGGGGGGCCCGCGGTGCCGGCGCTGGCCCAGACAGTACAGATACCAGCACTGGTCGTTGACGCGGCCCAGACAGTAGGCGCTGCCCTGGAAGCCCAGATCGTTATCCAAATACTTCACTTCGCGGTCGAAGCAGCGGTGCAGCTCGTCCTGCAGCTCCGGCCGCAGAAAGTCCTTCCGCGAGTAGAACAGGTCCTGCAATCACAACACGCCGTCAAGATAACCGGGAATCCATTGCGCGTGTAGCGGACATTCTGACTGACCTCGACGCCGGTGAAGCAGGTGTACTTGTGGACGAACTGCAGCAGCGGCTGGATGGCCTTGATCAGCGTGGTGCTGCCGCAGGTCTTCAGGATCAGGCAGCGCGCCGACACGAACATGCTGCTCTCACTGCAAGCAACATTCAACGTTTAACGCACGCTTTGGAAAAGGAAGAGTTTAGCGCCCACCTGAGGACGTAGGCGTCGGTGTCCGGCGTGGAGATGCGGCTGATGATGGTGGCGTTGACGTGGCCTAGCAGCTCGTCCAGCATGGGTCTGCAGAGAAGACGTCAGTGAGTTAATCATACAAGCGACAGAGCCAGTCAAGCCATGCGCACCGGGGAATGGCGCGCAGGTCGGCGGGCTTGCCGCTGACCGCCGCGGGCGTCAGCTGTCCCAGTTGGTCAACCACCGGCGTCTTGGAGTGGTCCGGCGTGTGGGCGTCGTGGAACCAGATCTCCAGGAGCTTCTCGGTGCCCTCGTAGAAGGAGTCGGTCACACTGCTCAGCGCCGCTTCGCTCGCTACCCCCGACTCCAGCTCCACGTCGTCGTGCAGAGAGGACGCGGGGGAGGCGGGTCCACTGTCGGAGGGACTCGGCGGGGGCGAGTCGGCGGTGTTGGCCAGGAGGGCGTCCATGGGTGGGTCGGTGGGTGGGGGCGGGGTTGGCAGCGAGAGGCCGGTCATCTGGGCTTGTTAGGCCGGTGGAAGTACCTGCGCAAAGGGGTGTTATTATGTCATCAAGCAGAGCAGACGGTCGCGCTGATCTGATACTGACCAGCTCTGGCGTGGCGAGTGGTTGGGGCTCAGGCAGGCAGTGACAGGTCCGGGGTCCTGGTCAAGGCGGCAACCTGAACCGGCAGCGGCGGCAGCGGAAGAGCGCGTTCCACAGGGGTCAGCTGACCATGGCGGCGACAGCCGGGCGGAGGAGCAACGGGCGCGGCGACGGCGGGAGAAAGAGGGATGCATAAAGAGGGGCCCACTCACAGGGCTACCGACAGCAATAACCACGGATGGCTATTGGACGCAGAGAGAGGATCAATCAACGACGGCGCTCCACTACCAACATCCGGCAACCAATCCACCATTCCCAAGTGAGTGAAGACAAGAATCAAACGCACTGGAAGCGCAGTCAACAATCTAGCTGCTGAGTAAAGGAATCAGAGACGGAAGCCAGTTGCTGAGGATGATCAGGGCGCAGTTTTCAGCGTCGTCACGTCACTGGCAAATTGGCAATCAATGCCTGGCCAGACGTCCAACTGGGGATTCTGCAAAGTAGTCAACTGAAACGTACCCGGCAAACACAAATACTGCTCAATGCTCATCGATCAATCGATGACGGCGCGGCGCGGCGCAGCGTCGCCGGCAATACAGGCATGCCTACGGTACTGTACGTATATTTTGTGCTTTTGCCAACAAACAGCCGCTACCGCTATCAAAGTTGCTGACGCGCACAGGCCTGTATCTGTACAGCGAAGTTGCAAGTACTTATTTATAGCTGTCTGAGTCTCTGAGAGGACTGCGTAATCGCACGCACCCACTGTAAAACTGGCCAAATTCGGAGAAACGCGTCTCTGCGTCCTGCGATTGATATTAATGACTGTTTAGCTACTGGATGAGTACTCGTACTGTAGGAATTTAGGTATAACACTAACAGTAAATTCGGCAAACTGCCCAATTGATGATAATTTATAACGTGTAACCAGGATACAAATTGCTTTGACGATTTGACGGAAAAACGGTAACACTATCACTGGATAAGGTGGGTAATCTGTTTAATTAAACTGAAAACTGTGCTGTAATCAGTACGAGTACAGTAACTGATCGTGAGTAACCATGAAAGGCCGCACAAATGGCGACTGCTGCGAGTACAAATCCTGCCGCTCAAAACGGTCTGTATTTACGAACCTTAACGACCAAGTCCCTTATCGCAGTCTCCCAATAAACAAACATTAAGACGTAATAAATATCGGCCTGATTGTAACGATAAGTTTCACCGTAAAAACAGTTGGTATCCTGCGAGTAGCACTAGCGGAGTACGAGTATGAATCACATCGATGACCAATAAACGAGTACAACGTAACAGTCACAGTGTCACATCGTCACTGGATTAAACTGCCTGCGACGGCGCCACTCGACTAGCTTGATGTGAACAGTGAATTGTCAACAATGTAGATTGTAGCATACGATGTACCTACCTGGTCCGCAACGGCAACTCGGATGAGAACTCAGAAGGCCTCCCCAACAGGTCTCTTCGTCAGCAACGTGGAGCGCTCTGGCTCACTCGCGATTCAGGCTCAAATTAAATACTACAGAGTACAGACTTCTCGATGGCGTTCCACGGATAAACGCTAATCAAGCTGCTCGATGGAACTTCGTCAAGCACAGACAATCAAACCACGCTTCTTCGCCACCTGTGTGCAAATCCGCGGCGGACCAACTGTACTTACCGCGCACGCGCAACAATTTGTGTCTCCAAGCGATAAAGGTCCACACTGTCGTTAACTGCTGTTAAACAGCTACAAACTAGAGCGATGTAGCAAAAAGTAGCTACTGTAATAAAATGTGTAATAACACGATCAGATGAAATGTTGCTCGATCGAGCTGCTGCAGGCTCTGACTCGAAGAATTTCAGTATTTCACTATTTCACCCAAGAAAATCAGTCTGAGAATGAGGTGAATTCTGCACGACTGTGCGGCGTGACTGGCAAGTGGCAGACTGCACAACTGAACACGAACAATTAATTTTCGGCTGTATGTACCCTGTACGGACTACGGATGTCAGTGCGGCACTGCACTGACTGGCGTCACAGTGGCGTGACTGCTGCAGTGCAGCTGCGACTGCAAGTCCGGTCGTACTGGTACTTACCGTCGTACGAAACCACGGAATATTCAATACTATATAGATATGCCGACAGAAATTTATTTGTACATATTCGTAGTCTCTTTAACAGTATAAATAATTTCTTTTAACGGAACAACGTGGTCTGATCTTACGTGACTTTTTTCTGTAATCAAACACGGAGCTTCAACTGACAATATTAAATTGTTAGTGTATACAGTGTTGTACGCTATGTATTACAAAGCGTATACGTACTGTGCATTTCCACCGGAAGCCGCATATACAACTGACCGACTTCCGGTGGATATGAAATCGCGCCAGTGCGAAGTCGAACCTAACAATTAGTAACGCACGTAAAAACAACAAGGAAACTGTTTTAATTGCTGAATCCTTGATCAAATGAATTAACTGTCCATTTGTATGGACATATGCACAATTGTCATAATTATTATTATCCGTAATACGTGCCGGTGCGAGTACTGTAATAAAGGCGTCAAGGGCTGTTCTGACGTCATAATTAAGGGATACTTATCGTAATGTTAGTTATACTCTGTACCATCGACAATCACCAGAACTCAAACAACGACTAGGAAAAAACCCCAGAAGAGCCTAACAATAAAAAGAAGACAAATAAACGGCCAGCGTCGTCACTCAGGTCAGGAGGCAGACAGGACTGATTGTGATTCTATTTGTGGGGATGGACAGCACGCTGGCCCATCCAGACGGCAGAATGCAGTGAGTGCAGTCCTGTCAGCCGGCGGAGAAGGACAATGATCAGCATCCCGCGATGGAGACATGTCTCTCCTAGTCCTGGCCAGTGACACGAACACGATAATACCGCGCGCAAACGGAAGACGGACAATCCAGTACAGTACAAGAGCGACAGGGCGCTTCATCAACTGCGCAGAATCACCATCGTCACTAGTCCTGCAAAGCAAAGGCAAACTGAGTAAACACTGCGTGCGCCAGCAATCAAGCGCAGTGGAGCCTACCGAGAATGTAGGCGGCGACGAGCTTCTGGTTGAGCGTCAAGTGCAGGTACACGGGCCAGGGACTGTTCTGGTTGTGACTGCCGTGTCCGTCGGTGGGCAGGCACAGGGCGGCGACGCACAGCACGCCCAGCAGGACGATGAGGGGGCTGGGGGCGGTCAGGTGCGACGGAGGGGGCCCGCTGACCGGCGGCGGAGGGGCGCTGTCGCTGGCGCCGAAGTGCACCTTGCCGCGGCGTCCCAGCGCCGGCTGCCACTGCGCCGCCCCCGCACCTGGGGGCGGAGAGGCGGGGGCGCTGCGTGCGGCCCCGGCGGCGGAGGAGGCGGAGTGCGGGAGGTTCAGGGGAGCGAACTCGCTGTCGCTCTCCTCGTCGGCGTCGGCGCTGCGGCTGTGCGGCGAGCGCTTGTCGCGCAGCACCGCCTCGAAGGTCTTGCGCCCCAGCAGCCCCCCGGGGGCCTCGGGGGGGCTGGCGTAGGCGTCGTAGATGTGGATGCGGAACTTGTCGGGCTTGTTGAAGTGCGCGGCGACGGGCGCGTTGTGCCGGATGATCCTAATGAGGAGAAGACGATAATCAAGACTTGATTGTGAAAGATTGTGAACATGAACACGTAACAATGACAACATGATTGTGAAAGAACCAAGGTTCAGTTGAGCTTCTTACACGTCGGAGCAGAATCCGGGCTTGACGGTGCCCTGCGCGTCCACCACGCTGTACAGCTTGGGCGCCGTGCAGTACACTGCAACAAGCGACAAGATCAGAATATGGTCAGGGGAAGAACAAGGGACGAGTACTATCAGAGTATCAGTGCTCGACAAGTGCGTCGTGTCTGAGACTGTTCAAAACTGGGATGGATAAGAGGCATTACAATTTCATGGAAGAACTAATGACTGTCTGTAACTCTGTAAGTAGTACAGTACTTTCGCTTACCTCTGAATCGGAGGGGGAAGTCGTAGGGGTTGTAGATGGTGAGGATCTGGCGCAGGGAGTCCTTCTCGCTGGCGAAGAAGTGCAGCGTGTTGGGGAAGATGAAGACGGGCAGTTCGCGCTGCGGGTCCGCTGCGGCTGCGCCCTGCCCCTGGGAGGGCGAGCGGGGGGCGCCGCTGCTGCTCGACACGGCGCGCTGCACAGACATGTCTGCAGAGTGCAGGATCAAAGACTAAACGGGAACTGTCTGTGCGGAAGCGTCAACAGACCCAGGTCGCTCGCGTGCCACAGCGCATCTCCACACACGCGTCCTGATTCCCCGTCCACTCGCCAGATCGCAGCAACACAATGCTTCCTCGCGCGACAAGTCCGCAAATGAATGCCAGCACAATCAAGTCAATCAATCGGAACCAGACTGCAGTTTCAGATTGACACTGGCACAGCAGAGTGCAGATCCGTACTAAGCACTGCGACAGCTGCTCAGCCTGCTCTTACTGTCTTGCATAATCAAACCAAGCCAGATTCTGTCAAATTAAGTATCAACAGCCTTCACGTATTCGTTCTCGGGTTAACTTCTTATGTTATTCTTCTCACCGAAACACATTAATCCCTCATAAAAATTGCTGAAACTATAAAATAAAAGTTGAATCAGAGGAAATCCAGCAGGTTTGCTGTTTGCAGCAAGGCAGTCCTCAAATTCAAAGCGAACCTCGTTGCGATACAACAACTCCACGTCGCGAGGTGGCTTCACGTACCGTAATTTTAAGCGTGGCCACTGCAAACAGCCACTTCGTGCGGTTCAGCAACCACAACAAAGCTCACTGTGTACAGAATTCGAGACGCACCCTTACTGTAAGTGTGCCACAACTGCAACTTACAACCAGTGCATGTGCTGCAGCACGTCACCGCTGCACGTGCCACTGTTATTGCAAATTCATAATATTATATACATTATACCAAGGTATCTTCACTAATAACGATTAAGTGAAGATACCTTGATTATACACGTAATACACTCTGTGCTCCGCAATGAATTTCAAAACGGCAACTGTCCCATGTGCAATGTAGATCATCATCAGGCATAAGTAAGTACGACTGTACGAGTAATTATCATGACAATGTCATGTGGTAAGAGTTTATGAGCCTTGTGGTCATGTTACCAGTATCCGTTTGATTAAGCCCGTTATATCTGTAGTAATTTTCAACATATTTTCAAATTTCAAATGAACGCATTCTATTAATTTATTTTCCATAGCGTAACACTGTAGTAATGCAATACAAGTACTTCTATGGGTCGCGATCAGCTCCGTCTTGCAAATCATGTTTGATCCCAACCGGCAACGGTTGTTCTGCTATTCTTCATAATTTAATATTAATTTTGCGTAAAGCAGAAACATTAACTCATTCGCTCCGTGGTGAATCTGCTAACAGCGTCTCAACCATTACCCCTTCTCATTTTTAATTCTTATCAATATCCTCGATCTGGCACACACTGGCAGCAACCGCTTAAAAACACTACTATACCCGTCCAAATTCCAACGCGTAAAATTAATAAAACCAAAAAAATAATTACATTGCCACTGTGAATGCCAATGGAAACCGAGAAAAACAGAACCCACGCTACCAACATATCTCAACACATCTGTATCTGTACGTCGCTCAGAACTGAAAACACGCCGCACAGAGCGGGCGCAAAGAAGAAAATTAATAAATACTATTCTCGTCTTCGATTCAGCGAGTGTCGGCCCGCTGCAACACGCCGGTCGTCCATCGCAGCAAGAGCGATCGTTCTAACGTGGGCATCATAAAACAACACGCTGTCCCGTGTTCCTGTCATGGAGATTCCGTGGTTTTGTCGTGTGGCCGGCGCATTCCGAAGCGCTGATCATATGCGCTCCTTGCTGGGTATCCAGGCCTTGTCGCCGGCCGCCTCCCGCTCGATGACCTCTTTCACGCGCAGGTACAGCTCCTCGGGCGTGTCGCCCGTCACCGTGGCCGTGAACAAGTGCCCGAACTCCTTCTCCAGCTTGGCGCAGCGCTCCAGACTCTTGTGCGCCATCTCCTCGCTGAGACGCCGGTTCATCTCCATGATGGAGTCCAGCGACTTGGGCTTGACGTACACCACCACCGGGTACAGCCCGTTGGCGTGCAGGCGCCGCACCGCCGCGCCGCTCACGTCCAGCACACAGTGCAGACCCTGTTCCATCCACATAATTACGCTGATAATCACCAATTAATTCGCCAAATTATTTACTGAATATCTAATCAATAAATAAACAATATCCAATTAACGAGATTATTCACTGAATATTTATTCAGTTACTGTAATAAACGGCATTCAGCCAACTAGATTACTTATTTATTATTTAACCAGTTAAAAGATGGCTTCAGTTGGTTACTAACCTTGTCGGCGACCTGGCGGACGGCGGCGACGCTGGTCCCGTAGAGATTGTCGCTGTACTGGCCGGCCTCGATGAAGAGGTGGTTCTGGATGTCGCGCTCCATCTGCTCGCGCGTGACAAAGTGGTAGTCGCGGCCGTCCAGCTCGTGGTCGCGGCGCGGGCGCGTCGTGTGCGGGACGCAGCTGGAGAAGCGCTCGGGCTGCTCGGCGATGAGATCGTCGTTGATGCGGTCCTTGAAGGGGCCCATGATGATGACGGGGCGCACGTACTTGAGCCGCTCGTACACCACCGGCTCGTACGAGGCCACCGCCTCCTCCACCTCTGCAACACACGCAACAAGACGTGCACAACACTCCACTGTGCAGTCAGACAGACAACAGCGTCATTACTCATTAGTCATTATCGATCGATACAACTAACTATAAGAGCAATCTGTGATGCAGTTGCACTAGGACAACTCTGACTGATTCAGCCAGAGAAACAAAATAAGGAAGCCCTTCATCCCGGCAATCCAGCGAGCGCGACAGCCGGGGAATGGATGAAGGGCTTCTCTGACTCGCTGCAGCCACAGGCGCCGGCCTGCGCTAATCTAATCCAGGTTGCGCTATTGCCACTACTGAATCGACACTTTCAGCGTGCATGCGCGGTTGAAATCGAGATGCCGATCATCTCAAGATAGGCGCGTCGACTCGATTAAGAGATTAGCGCACGTACTTTCCGATTCACTGGTCTCGTCGCCGCTGTGCTCCTTGCCGGACTTGAAGAAGGCGAACTTCTTGGAGGCGGCGTTGGGCGTGGTGCTCTTGTTGCCGGAGTTGTTGTCCTTCTCCTTGTCTTTCTCTTTGTCCTTCTTCCTGCCGGTGAGGCGGTCCAGCGTGCTGGTGCTGGCGCTCTTGCTGCCGCCCTCGCCGCTGGCCTCGAACTTGACGGACTTGAGGCGCGCCCGCTCCTTCCGCTCCACCCTGCAACCATAACCCATGCGTCTCAATCACAGTCTCCCATCGAGGGACTGCAGGATCCCTCACCGCTGCTTGCTGGGGATGATGCCGAGGCCCTCCTCCTGGCCGCGCCAGTTGACGCGCCGCGCCTGCCACCACTCGTCGTCGCTGGCGTTGGTCACGTGCAGGATGTCGCCCTGCACGAAGGCCAGGCCGCGGCTCGGCAGGCCGCTGTCGCGCGACGGGTCGTAGTCGATCTGCGACCTAAAACGGAACAAATGCCACCATTACATACTGCTTGCCGACGTAAAAAGCATAAACATCTCGTCGGCGGGACAACACACAGTCAAGCATTGCACTGACCGCACGTAGAGCGAGCGCTTCTGCGTCGGGCGCAGACTGTTGCTGCTGGCGCTCATCATCTTCTCCTTCAGCTCCTCAATCTTCTCCTCAAACCGCTGGTATTCTATAACCAATTACACCGGCCATCAGTATCAAGCTGAACATCAGCAAACACTGTAATTAGCTATCCTTATTGGGGAACACGAACACTGTCTTCCCATCGGCATAAATAATAATTAGCCATCATCAGCAGGCTGTCTCCTGTGCGTCAACACAGAACAAACACTATGGGTACGCGGCATGCACATCGCATACGAGTATGCCTTCGTATGCATTCCACAACCGCATTATTTTCCTTCATGACTTTCTTTATAATCGAACATAAGACGCCTCTTGCAGCCAGCTGAACGCAACCACAATATTTATTATGACAAGATGGCCTCCAAATCCAGATAAAATAAATACACTACGCTACTACGCTGCGCTACAGCAGCACAAATGGTCCCAGCCCAACGATTACTCAGTAGCTGCCTGCCAGTACCAGCCTGTTAATAGAGTGATTAGATACATAACATCCACTTCCGGTACAGCATGCATATGCCAGTAATGCCACCACAGCAAAATTAATTCAACTGTCAATGCGCTATCGCAAATACACTTAACTATAATACAGTAAGCTTAATTAATTTTCATGAATCAGTCCGACTCACCAGTCATCTACAATATCATTTACACATGCGTTCACTGACAAGTGAATTACAGCAGAACAGAATATAAAGATATGAGCAGGTCATACAGCTGCGGCAATATTCACCGAATAAGAACATTTCACTTTCAGCATCAAAACCAATTCAGGTATCACTTATCATCAAAACAGCGGAATGTTTGTCAATCCGAATTTAAAAAACCTTCAATTTCATCTACAATCAAGCAGCAAACAGTCAAACTGCACTGTACTACATCGTCTATGCAGTATTATAATATTACAGATTTATGACTAATAGCACTATTATTATTATCGTAGATAATAGGTAGATGAAAATGTGCAGTACAATTGTACAGCAAGCAATAAAATAACCTGATAACGTTTAAATTTCCACTGGAAAATCAAGCACTTATGGAAGTTTCACCAAATTAACATCTGCATAAATAGTAGTAACAAATTAACACTAATTGAATTAATTAACTAGAGTAACGTTTAATAAACGTTCGTAATCTTGTTTGTACTCTTCCAGTTCACGGACCAGTTGTAAGTGAAACGGGAAAAACTGCAGAGCTCGTTACTGCTCGTCCAGATGGCAATGTTTAACGTTAACAGTAAGAACGTGGCCAGAATACAACGGAAAATGAGCAAGTTATCATTATTATGATATTATCAATTGACAATTTATACTGCAGTTCACGAAAGTCTGCAATGTTCTTTTCTAATCCTACTGCCAAACTTTGCGGCGACGCAAACCGGCAAACTGCAGCTGCTGACTGTGAAATTAATCTGGAAGCAGAACACGAGTACTACAAGCACTGGTTCCCGGCAAGTGAGAAGATGCAAGTGTGGATGCGAGCACATCGAGGCTTACAGCTTACTTAATCTAATCAGATTACGTGACCATATCAAATGCTGTATCTATATAGTATTCCACCTCATTCATCTATATAATTATTAAAGAGCTGCACGACGAAGACTAATAAGAAACACTGAAACAGAATCGAAAACAAAGTTAGGAACGCGAGGGCTAAACACTAAACACAAACTGCAATAATAAGCCTACAATCATACAGTACAACTACTGACGATGAACAACATACCCAGCAGCAGCAACAGCAGGCAGCTTGACTTTGGCAAGTGCGATGCAGCGTCGACTGTCGCGCGCTCCATCAGATGCAGACAGCCCCTGCCACTGCCATCGCCATCGCATTGATCGAGCAGCCACACGCAGGTATCGCTGCACAGACTGATACGGTCTCAGCAATTAGCCAACTTCCCATTTGATCAACCAATGGAAGAAGCAAGATCAAGATAGGGATGTGGCAAAAGGGAAGCTTAGAAACAGATAATTAAGCAGGTTCCCCACTTCGCGGACTACCAAGTCTTTAAAAACTCTCCGCAATGCCCGACTAACACAGAGAAAGACCAGCCAAGAACTATCACAGTTCGCTACTCAACACCAGCATCTGCCAACTGTCACCGGTCCACCGCGACTGACAGGTCCAACACAACTCACACCTCAGCAAAAAGGATATACTGTATCTCCAAAAATATCTTCAAAAGTTAAAAGACTTCACTGATTTTATCTGTCGAATAAACTCTTTATTTCTACAACTAAAAGAATTTCCACAACTTGAACTGATGTGAGTCACAGTGAGTGGGACACGGGCCACACGGCCAGGGAAATGCACACGTACGCTACGTCGCCGTAGCGATAGCGTGCGCCGTGCCGTATATGTACAGTACTTACTTTGAAGCCGCACGCTACCATGCGTACGCAGTACGCACTTCTCTGTGAGCACTGAGCAGTGCCTGTGCCATTCTTTCAAAACAATTGGGAATTGGCTCTGTATGATTTGATTGATTTCTCAGTGTACGATCATGAACAGTTATGAACATAATTCATTTGTTACAAACCGGTTACGAAACTAAAACTTATGCCATAATCCGTAAGGTAAAAAGACCGCCCGCACTCTTCTGCAGCTACGGCATAATTTGCAGGCAGTAGAATTAGGCACACACTGGAGACGCGGTTAATATCGGTCTCGGTTGCCCTCACTGCGCACCGGAAGTCCATCAATTTCTACACTTTTGGCTGAATGCGTGTACCGTCCCACAAACTTTGCAGTTATTTTCAGTAGCGCACGCATTTTACAGCAACCGCTGCTTCGCCAAACACTGTGGAAAAATTTCGGCTTCGCATTACTTAATTACTAAATAATATACGCGCGCTATTTTATTAATTTTGTAGTTAACACTGATCATTCGCACGCAACGACCAAAAAAACCTGCCTGGCATAACTACAAAAAGCACAACAATACGCACAATATCGGGAACTGAACAAAATACCAGTTATTTGTTACATATACAAAATTAATAATACTGTACAATTCTTTATACACGCTCCTTTCTAGTTTGCACCACCACGTGGCAGATGCAGACTTACGTACAGCCTCATGAACCTGCGCAAGTGCGCCGCTCACCTTCAGGACAGTACTGGGCGACAATGGTGACGGTCTGGCCGGCTCCCTTCAGCGCATCCGCCGCCTCCTGCATCCGCAAAAAGAAAACATTACTTTCTTGATTTTTCCTTAATATACGCAGCCACACAAATGCTGACGTCAAGTGGTCAGCGCAATCGCATTCGTCCGCAATACAAGTGCTATTAGTATTACTACTGGGTCAGTCACCTCACCCACCTCGTGTGAAGCGTGACGCAGATTGATTCCGTTGACACTGCAATCACCAGCACCACACTGTATTCAAGCGCAATTTCCTTCAGGACAGCAATTGTGGCGGCGCACTCTTACCTAATCAGTCGATCGCCTGCCGAAGCCGCCGCATCAAAACAAACACAATTACCATAATGATAATGCCCCTCAACGAAAAAAATCATACACACGCAAACGAACAACAAAAAAACGCAGTTCTCGTACCTCTGCGCAGTTTGCCGTTCAGATCACAACTGCCGCCCGGCACAATGTAGCTCAAGTAGATTCCTGCAAGAATACAACTGCTTGTTCGATTCGGCAATAAGCTTTTATGCATAAAATTAACCAACAGTCAGTCAGTGCTAAGGAAATAAATAAACCAACTGACAATTTCAACGCAAATATATGCATTTTATTTTATTGGTGGCAGTGCCCGACTCACCTTCTCCTTCCTCCCCTCCGACAATGTTGAAGCCCAAACCCTGTGGTCCCTTGGTCAAGACAACGCTGCGCAGTTCCCTGTTATCAACGCAGAAAACAGTTCACATTCCGAAATGCAGGTGGTGAGAAGACAGCCATGCTTACCGGCTGGCCTCGGCGTGTTCCTCCTCCAGCGCCGCGATGGGCGCCCGCACCGCCATCCCGTAGGCCGGGCCGGAATAGTCGCTGCTGTCGGCGCGTTCACTGCGCGACGGCGTCCGACTGCGACTGCCCTCCTTGGGCGCCGACGACTCCGACAGCGACACCGAGGACTGCGTCTGGACGCGCTGGAAGGACGCCTCGTTCCGCGCCCCGGGCGACGTGGCCCCGGACCCGCCCTCCGCCTCCGCCGTCGGGCGCTCCACCAACAGCTGCACCGTCTGGCCGCTGTTCTTCAGCAGCGACACGGCCACGTCGTGCTGCACGTGGTCCAGCCGCGTCTCGCCCACGGCCACCAGTTTGTCGCCGGCCCGCAGCCTTCCGTCCAGCGCGGCGGCGCCGCCCTCGACGATCTTGGTGACGAAGATGCCGTCGTCGCCGGGGACGTGCTGATTGGCCAGACCCCCGCGATGCTGATGCCGAGGCCGCGCGAGCCCTTGTCGATGGCCAGCCGCAGCAGGGGCCCGCGCCGGCGTCGCAGCCGCAGAGTGACGATGTTGCCGGCCTTCTTCAGGGCGTCGGCGGCCATCTGGTGCTCCACGTCCAGCACCTCGTCGTCGTTGATCTGCGCCAGGATGTCGCCCAACTGCACCGAAACACAATTACTCCACCCGTACACCACACCGACAACGGTTTAAGGAACACGACATACACGCATGCGGCCGTCGAGGTGCGCCGCGCAGCCCTCGACGATCTTGCTGATGTAGACGGCGGGGTCGTTGGGCGTGCGCGGCTGGTCGTTGCCGCCGGCGATGGAGAAGCCCAGTCCCAGCGGACCCTGCACAGAATAACACACCAACTATTTCCTCCCGAGGCAGATGCATATAATAAGCGGACGTACGCGCTCCAGGATAATCTCCAGTTCATCGTAGGGTGACTGAACAAAGTCAGCCAAGGGAAGACCGTTCGTATCCACGCTAACGCGCCGGGAATGCGGACCCGACCCGACACCGTCGGGCTCCTCATTCCCGTTGACGCCCTGCGACGAGTGCGACCCGACGCCGCTCTGCAGTCAAAAGAAACATGCAATTCATTAATATCCACTGCAGCACGTCACCTATCGCATTAAAAACGGAAAAACGGCTCTGGCCGTCCTGGAAAACCAGTTTATTGTAATCGAATACCCGTAAGTCAATCTCAGATAATCTTAATAAAAAATCGTTGTTTTATTAAAAATTGAAAGATTTCTGGCAAACACAGCACCTGGTCGGATGCACAGCCTAACAAATTCCACAGCATTATAGTAATCCTTGCAGTTCCGGGTCATTAACCAACTGACATTCATCAAACACTACAGTAACGCAGCAGAAAAGCGACCAAATTGCATATAAGCCAAGAAAAAAATACTCAACACTCAACAGGCAAACGGTGAGAAGCGATTAACCACACTGGTCCACACAGGATAAAAGAGCGAAATGTTGCCACTTGAGATACTGAACAGCAGTAACGTAGCAAGCTTCTACTACGCAATGCACTGGAGAAAACAGCGATTACACGATAGACCAGCGGCAGACAGCGCGAGCACATACGGTAATCAGCTGGAAGAGAGATTGCCCATATCGGTCCCCGGGAAAGCTAATAAACGCCGGCAATCAATGCCACCAAATACAAATAAAACACCTCTCGTCTTGGCCAGCCACATTAGTCATTACTCTTGCTTACCACGCGCTTCGTAAGTACGTGTATGCGGAGGGCATACGCGAATGCGATGAACGGCGCATATAATATGCAGTGAACGCACAGAAAAATGCCACATTTTCAAGGACCGGACACGAACGGATGGACAAAACACCAGCGCAACGCATTCACACGGAAACTGTTGTGCAATACACTATCGTACATATCGTCATCACTAAGCACATCAGACGCTAATAATTATCTATTTCATTCTATGCAGCGCAACCGTTTCGCAACCACAGTACAGTATTGCTTACTGAAATTACGGAACTGTTTCTGCTTTCGTCTCAAAGAATTTCGAAAGTACTGCTTCCGTTAATGGCTAAAAGATTTAGTAAAACTGCGTACTACAGTAATGTTGGCATGAAAATTCGACAGCTGACGGTTGTTGTGTTACCTGAGAAGGCCCGTGACCGGAAGCATAATGAGCAGCAGAGATTCTGCTGTTGCTGGGGGAAGGCGAGGTGTAGGAGAAGGCAGTGGGGCTGCGGTTCAGGCTGTGGTAGGCCGGGAGGGGCAGCGGCGGGGAAGCACTGTTGAGGGAGGCCGTCTGGACGTCGTAGGCGGCGGCCGGCGGATTATGAGTGTGCGGGTGGGCGTCGAAGCGGTCGTTGGCCGCGTCCAGACTGGCGCCGGCGTCGGCCTGCAGGATGTGGGCCACGCTGTCCGAGCCGGCGGCCAGCGAGGAGGACGACGCGGCCGAGTCGTGCCGCTGCACGCCGAACGGCGCGTTCTGGAACTTGCTGCTCATCAGCTGCGCCTCGCGCGTCTTTTGCTGCACGCTCTTCCCGTCGTTCATCAGCGTCGTCTCGTAGAACTCGTGGATATCTGCACACACATGCACGCAACCGATTACTAGTAATTCAGCATAACACGTCGCAAAGATTCGCAATGCTCAAGCATAATAATTTATTCTACTTGTACTGTTTAATGTGTAATTGTGTACTGCGCAGTGTGTACATGTACAAGTACCACATAGACAACAACATCGATGTATTGTACCTGTATGTCTGTAAGACTGTAACCAGTTATTTATAAAGACTAAGTATCAACAGAGTAGAATAATTATTACTATGTATAGTCTGTTGCTTGAACGATGATATTCTTAGCAAAATCACGATCAGTTCTTCCTACACACGTTAATTTAAAGCAACACTATAAACATTAGCTTCTGGCGATGCCACTCGTACGATTTTGTGTTCTTTTGTGTTGCACTGCAGACTTTTATTCAAATACTCAAGTGCAACGCCAAACTGCCAATGCGTCATGCGCTCAAGAGTGGACAATTAACAATACAACAAATCCACAGATTCCAGTTTTTACCGTGAGTGATTCAGGTGCACCTGTGAATGCAGTTTGCTACTGTACTTGTACACAGCAAAGTACGGTGCTAATACTGAATGCCCGCCAAAACGTATAATTATATTTTCTGCAAACGTTGCATTTTTCACTCGTGGAAGTTTGGAAGCAGCGGTAGTCTGACCTACAGACAACAACAGGAGGTACGGCTCGTATAGCAACTAGTTACGTGGAAGGCATACAAACTGCAACCAAAATGCACTTCGTGCAGTAGTAAACCGAGGAGTAAAAAAATCGATAAGCGGTATTCAGTAGCGTACAGCATTCCATCATGTTTTACAAGCACATTACGAACTGCATTACAACGTAAGAGCTTTAACATGATCTTATTACGTACATACTTGTACAGTAACTGCATACTCGTTTTCCCTTACTTTCAAGTTTCGACACTGCGTACAGTGGACGCTACTGCTCAAAAAGTACAGCTAAAAGCCATTTTTTTCTGTTCAGTGCGACTTGAAGAGCGCCTAGTGTCTTGCCGCATTTCGCTCACTTAGTGTCAAATTGTCAATCAATAAACCACGCCCGAGAGTAATCCACAAACTGCAAGCAGCACTACTCCCGCTAAACTTCCCTAAGCTTCCTTCCGGCTACCGTGTCTCACTGGCGACACCCTTCCCGCTCCCCGCCTGCCATCTTCTACGACGCATTACCAGCCATTCCGGATCGCAATACTCGTCGACGTAAACGGCAACTGCACCACTGAAACCCCGCAAATCTGCTGGAGACAGCCAACGAACCGGAAACAATCCCGTCTGCAACTGAGCCGGCAACGCAGCCCCTCTTCTTCCGCTAGCTATAGGCTACACCACCCCGCACACACTGCCACAGACCCTTCCTTGTTGCTACACAGCAGCACTGCGCTCTCTCAATCAATCCCATGTCAATTACGGATGCAGCCCAACACAGGCCCCACTGTATCGCTATCATATTCATCGCTCCTGTCCGCAACGGTCAATTTCCCTAGATGCCACTCGGCAGCGTGTGACAACAACAACCCTTTTCAATCGGACGCAAAAGGCCGGCCCGACCGGCTAAAGGGTAACGGCTCATCGTGATTAACTTTCCCACGCCGTACAGTTATCAGGGATTCCCTTGCATTGCATTCCGCGGATTGCCGCGCGGACAATGCGCTAATCACGGGGAAATATGCCAACATCGATTAGATTTAGGGCGCATCGCTCTTTAGCGCACAGGCCCAGGCAGCGCACGGGCGGAAATCAATTCAACGCGGAAGACTGCCGGCCAGAGGAGTCATTACGGCGGCGTACACACTGCCACAATGCACATAACCGCCTCAAAAGACGCTCATGGATAGTGCACACAAGACACCAGCAGCGCAAACAAACTAACCGACTCGACGACTGTATCCTACTCAATTATTTATCCCGCGCTTCCGGCCAGTCTCCCTAACGCGCTTCCTTGACATTTCAATCCGCCCAAAAAATAATAATAAAAATTTTAAAATACGGGATAGACTTTCTGGCTTCATCCTAAACTGCGTCAAAATAGGCGATTGAACATTGACGAGGGAAGATCAACAAGACAACGAACTGGAAGAAATGCCAGTGTGGCAGGACGAGTGTCGTTGCGCTGCGCAAATGCCTGCTGCATGTGTACATGAGTACATACACACCGAGGAGGGCCTGGAAGAGGGAGCTCTTGAAGATCTTGATCACTTGCTCGACAGCCTGCTTCAGCTGCTGGTCCTGCGGGCGCGCGGCGGACAGCCGCGAGTAGTAGTCCTCCAGCAGTTCAAGGGCGCGATGGGCATCTACGGCAGACAAATAAGACAATGCAATAACATTACGCAATTATCCTGCAATATGTACCGGTTATCCAGATTATTTTCACAAGGAGAAGAGCAAAACATACAAGTACGAGTATGTATACATTAAAGTAAGTATCGCAACATCAGCGTAATAAACGCCAAGATCTAGAAAAGCAATACAACCAAAATCCAGTTAATACTTCTCAGGATTTAGCGAAACACTGCAATCAGACTAACCATACATCACGATTTCAAATGTATCAGGGTATGTACGATTGTAAATTGTACGGTGTACGGTGTACCCCCTCATAATATTGTCAATTTACCTTTACTGCTTTACGTATCATGAATTACGATGTCATTAGCGAGAGAAATTGAAAATAATAAAAAAAGCAAGATAAGGATTCAAGTACAAATAATGCATTTTGATCGATTCTTTACATACACATTACTCGAGTAGTGAAAATACAAATTGTACGAGTATTCGAAGAATAAAATGAGTAGATACAAATTCAAATACAGGTTAAACACAAATTAAATTCAAAGAATGAGTAGGTAGCCATTACCAGCCAATAAACAGGAAAAATTAAGAAGAAAATAAGTGCAAAAACTGTGGTAGGCAGTGCAAACGTACATTATATCTGTAATAGATTACACAACTATTCAACAACGAAGAATTTGGTCCTCTGAGACTAAGTCCCCTCCTGGAATTTCGTGGGGCTCCGAGGGAGAGTTGACATGCATGCGACAAGCGAGCGTCCCTCAGGACAAGCAAATGAATTCAACTGGCCTTTCCCCGCATTTCTGCCAACATGTTCACATGTTCAGCCATCTGCACCTGCCAGTTGTATCCGTCCTACGATCTTGTTGGCTGTCCAACAGTACTTTATGCAGACATCATCATTACGACTATTAGGGGTATTTAACATTCTGATACGATCACGCAAAAGGCGAGGATAATTAAGCTGAAGACGCAGGTACAGTAAGTAGCAGCGAGTCCAGAATCCCGTCTACCGTTCTGTATCTGTAGTTGGGCTTACCTTCTTTGCGGGCAGGCATTCCCGTGGAATTATCTTCCCCTCCGAGGCTCAGCCACAGTGATCAGTTAATTAATCCGTCACGCAGGGATCTGCACGCTGCCACTGACGAAGGAAGCCTCGCTCAACCACCGCAATCCAATCCAATGATCCAACTGGCCTCCCACACAACCAAGACGCTCCGCTCCCCGATTCCCGCTGTGCACTGTGCAGCCACACTCCACACACAGCGAATCAGGCATTACACTGGCCAGGTGCACACACAGGAGGTCCGTGCTTGTCGTGCCATCGTGGCTGGTCGTGGAGAATTAAGACAACTGCAAGAAGACGCGTATCCCGTCAGGCTGATAATCCTGGCCTGTGCTCTGTACTGTACAGTGGCAGCCAATTGCAGCTCCTGTGTCAACAAAGCGATGCAGCTTATTGCTTATGCTCAGGCATCCAGTGAAGTGTTGACTGGATCAAGGAATCCACATGCACTTCACTCCCATAACACTGTAATCAATTCCTCCACAAAATACGAGGCCCTGTTGAACACCATTTCACTGTCATCTTTAGTCAGCATGTCAGACTCGCAGTCTCGCAAGCAGAAACAGGCCTATTAAATATTAATTCTAGTTCATAATTACTGAAACTGCGTCAATTACTGATCCATGGGATCCATGCCTAACTAAAAGCCACTCACAGCTCCAGCACGTCTTCACAAGCTAAATGCAACCATTACTGCATTCTTGCTTCTTCTTTTCAGGTAAGTAAATAAATCAGACTACAACCAGCAAAGCTAAACAATATTCCGTATCCAAGTCTGACTGCTACTCAAGTTACAAACTGAACACTTTAAAACACAATCAGCTGCCAATTGCCTCTATTACTAATATTATTCGTTCGCTACAAGTAACAAGTATTTCCAATTTCCCTGCCACATTTCTGCAGTGCTCTGTGTAAAATGCAAATCAAAACACAGTTCACTGTACCACATAAAATTTAACTGAAATTTGAAACGGCCAGAAAGGCAGCAATTTCATACACCTTTCGGATACAGAAACTAATGAAGCAAATGTCCTACCGAGAATTTATTACGGTCTAAATTTATCGTAGGATTAGATAAATGCTCTTGTTTGCTAATTTTACTTCAAATACGCAACTTACCTGCTTGTTTGTGTTTACGGAGAAACCACGCTGTTGACAGTGGTGGCGTTAAACAGACGGGAGCATTCAGTAGCAGACTGCACTTGCAGTCCTCCTACATACATGCACACTATACAACCTCCCACGTCCCGTACAGAATCGCAATATCGCACCAATTACTACTGCACTAAATCACTAAATAACTACTGAAAATTAAGACAACATTCTGCAAACAGTAAAAACTCAAAACTACAGTATTGATTTCATAAAAACCTAAAAGCTAAAAGCCAAAAACGGCTGAGACTGATCAAAGCAAAACAAGCAACTTGGATATTCGAAGAATGTGCTCGTGTTTGGTGGTGGCGCGGAATGGCGAAGGCAGATATCCGGTTCCAATACCAGTACTTTGCCACACGCATCATCACTTCCATTGGAACCGGAAGCATTTTCTTTACTCTTGTCATTTCCACTTTCACTTGGCGGCACAGCCGATCGCTAAGAGGCGGCAGCTGGATTAATCAGTGTAAGCTGTGTACTGAACTCCGAGTCTCCGATAAGGCACTGGCGCGACAGGCGCAGTCTAAACTATCCATTGGAATTTTGCGCTGGTTATTAAGCTGCCCATCACTTTTTCGGTTTTTCCTCGCGTGCTCGCCAGATTCCAATTTGGAGTTTTTAATGCACGACTGTATCCTTTTTCATCTTTGCACGATATCCCTCCTGTTCGCACTACAGTGCGCTTAAATTTTCGGTGTGTTGATCTTGCTTCCTTTTCTCGCTGCACTGGAAATGGGATTTAAAAAGGTATGTGAGCGCAGTGCTGCGCAGTCCGCGGACTTCGCGCACATGGTTTGGCTTGCAACAATTTACAATTGATCTCCACTTTCACCGTGCAGCGTCAACTGCTCGTGTCGTTGTGGTTGTAGCGCCGTCGCCTCAGCCTGGCATCGCTACAGGAAATATCGCGGAAGCATGCGGTTGCGTTGGACGATCGCGTCGACAGCGTGGATGTGTGGACGGATGAGGGCCAGCTGCAGTACGGACGGGTGGTGGACGCGGGCTCAGGCGGCCTCTTCATCGACTTGCTCTGCCCCGATCGCCGTCGCCACTTCGTCCCCTTCGGCCGCGTCTTCCGCATGCAGGAGGGTTGCGAGCTGCGAGACTGCTGGGCGCCGTGTCCGGTGGAGGTCCTCTGGCGCGCCCATCCCCGCGGACCCTGGACCTGGGTGGGAGCGGAGCTGTTGGTGCTGCACGCGGAAGGCTACCGGCGCCTGAACGCGGGGATAATGCGGCTGTACGACGCGGTCGGGGCCGGTCGACGGGGACCCCTGCACGTCATCCCACGCGCCCGGATCCGCCACGCCGGTAAGGATGCGGTCGCAGGCAGCGGGAACAGCGTTCTGGCTGGCGCGCACGGCCGACCCCCCGGGGAAGAGGAGCTGCGGCGCTATTACGGGGAGGCTTACACTCAGCTCTTGGTCGGTCCGGAGACGTTCGTCTTCGGCCAACTGCAGTTGCCGGCGGCGTGTGCCGCTGCAGCGGAGGAGACGCAGCGCTATCTGATGGAGGCCTGGTTGCACCGTCCTCCCTTTCGGTGGCCGGCGTTTGAGTTGTTGCGTCGGCTGGATGAGGGTCGCACGTGGTTGTACGTGGAGCGCACAGGCTTGGACGTTGGGAGGTCAAGGTGAGTGGGGCGGGCTGGCTTCTGATGGCATCCCTAAACAGAATATGAGCGATTCCTGTGCTGAGGAGCGTCCGGGAGGTTACGCCACGTCTGCCGTTAGCGCTGCCGCGGATGCTCCGCATGCTGGAGGTGCCCGTGGCCATGGAGGCCGCCGATGGCGAGGGACTGCAGCAGTTGCCGGTGGAGTTGTTATCTGCGGTCTTCTCCCATCTGGACACGGCGGAGCAGACGCGTCTGCGCCCGGTGTGCGCCCTGTGGGCCGCCGTCGTGCAGTCGCCCTCCCTAGCCTCCGATCTCATCATCAGCGGACGTGACGACTACGCTCTCCTGGCCAGCCTCGTCCACGCTCTCCGCTCCTCCACCCACCGCGTCGTCCTCCGCGACGGCGACCTAGACAGCCTCCTGAAAGTGGGCGATGCGGCCGCGCACTGCCCGGGGATCCGTGTGCCCCGCGTCCACCTCCATCGTCTGAAGTGCCGGTTGTCCGTGGACGCCTGCCCGCACGTCTCGCGGTGTGGCTACGGCTGCGCGGTGAGCCATTTTGCGGAGGCACTGCGCCGACTGCCGTGCGAGGAGGTTTCGCTGCTGCAGTGTCGCGTCGACCTGCTGGACGTGGACTGCTGGGATGATGAGAACCCGTTGTATTGCGACATGGACATCCCTGTCAATATTCCCGTAGCACACGTCCCGCCGACGAGCGCGGTGGAGGAGCAGGTGTGGGAGCTTCTGGAGGCGGGTATGGCGTGGACGGCAGCTGCGGATGATAAGCAGCACGCCGCCGACTGGCTGGCGGAGATGAGAGCAGACCAGCAGTCGCTTGACCAAGTGCAGCGATCCCTACTGAACAGGCTGTGCGAAGTAGGTGTTACGTCTCGTTCGTAAAACCAATCTTTCTTCTGCATAGCCAACAGAAGAAATCGTACGCATAGCATAAGATTAACTCGAGAAAATCTGAGAATAACAGAAGAAAGCCAATCCTGACGAAGATTGCACAACAAGGCCGGTGGGTGTGTTGAGGTTGTGAATTGCTTGCAGACGGTGTGCGCGCTGCATCACGCGCTGCGGCGCGCCGGTGCCCCGCTGTCCGAGCAGTGCAGTGCGCTGCTGCATGCGGACGTGGAGCGTGCGGCGCCGCTGCTGCTGGCCGGCCTGGTGCAGTCCGCCCAGCAGTGGGAAGTGCGCCACGACGGCACTCTGGAGGGACAACAAACAGAGGAGAGGAAGGCTGATCGGACGCTGCTGAAGGCCCTCGTGGACACGCGCATCGCTCGCTGATCGCCTGCTGCCTGTTCCTGCCTGTTTCCCTGGTGTCTGCAGCTGTTGTTTGAGCTTTCTCTGCCTGCGCTGGTTTGTAGCGGGTGGTTTTCTGTGGTTCGGTTGTAAAAATTTTATTTGTCTTTTTGTGGTGATTCTCTAGTCGTGCCGGACTAAATAATCATTTTGTGATAATCAGTTACAAAATAACAGAAAATCGGCGCCGGTTAACCCAGTACAGACCAATGAGCATAGACCACCGAGATTGACGAAGCATTAAAGAATATCAGCTGGAAATGCCGTACTACTCTAGGTCGTTCGCATTAAGTAATAATTATTAGCATTTAATTAGCTGCAACTGCAAGAATCTTGAAACAAATCCAAAGCGCCGCCGGAAGGAAAAGCAAGCAAGCCAGTGAAGCCGCCATCCGAGTGCGGATGAACAGGGCTACTAGTATGCTGAATGCGTTTTGACAGTTGACACTGACAATTGATGTGACTGCCTTCAGTGCCTTGAAGTGGCGTCCAGCCTTTTACAAAGTATTTCAGGTTGTAAGATTTTTCGGATGCATCGGTAATAAGTATAACTAATACAATCTTGCATTAATTACTCATATCGTTAGCGTTCATTAATTAATAATAGTAAAGCACGGCACAGTTCTCATCTGAATCTGAATGCGATATCTCGTGCATCATATTCATCGCCCCTGCGTGCATGGTAATACAGCCTGCAGAGTGCAGACTGCATCCCTGCCGCGTCGCTGACGCTGTATTTGCTTGTGCAGCAGATCTCGCAGGGACACCGGGACACGTTGCTACGGACGGGAATCGTGGAATCGATTGAGCCGTAGCTGCACTTGTGCACTGCTCCACTACATTGAACTGTACGAGCATCGAGTACGGCTTGGTGTAAAAGGATGCTTGACTGTCAGTCAGTCAACGGGCGCAGCTTGCCATTTTAACTACGCTACTAAGGTACTTACTTTAACTAACTAAAACTTACAGCATCCTTAGCTACCTTAAGGAGTTGCACAGCATCAGTGTTTGTTGAAGGACAATCCGAGTGCGAGACTGATTAATTAAACAGACTTGTCAATGTCTAGCGTACTGCCATGTGAATCCTGTGGATTGCGCACGTGCAGCGACTGCGCGGCTGGGTCGATGGAGGCATCCACGGGAGCGCGGGAGGAGCCGAGGGGATCGCAGGATGCAGACGAGGGCAGCAGCAGCTGCGTGCAGCATCTGGCGGGCATCGTCGAGCGGCTGCTGGACGACGGAGAGCAGGCGCTGGACCTCTTCCTGCGCATGCAGTTGCTGGCGGAGAATAAGCGCGCGGACCGCGCCACCATCAGCGCCTTGCAGCAGCAGGTGGCTGATTTACAGGCCGACAAGGCGACGGATCGACGGACCATCGACGCGCTGCGGGTGCTCGTCGCCGAGAAGGAGCGCCTGCTGCAGGAGGTGCAGATGGGAGGAGCCCCCAACCCGCCACTGAAATCGGCGCTGCCCCCCGCGGGCGCCAAGCGGCCCCCCAAGACGGTGACCTTCGCCCCGCTACCCGCCGTGGCCGTGGGCGTCGACGGGCCGGGGAAGCGCAAGCGCTGCGAGCCGCTGCACACGGCGCGCGTCTGCAAGGCCTGCTGCGTGCAGTTCGGCGACGAGGCGGAGCTGCGCGCGCACGCCTGTCCGCGGGCGCAGGCCAAGCGCTATGCCTGCCCCGCGGCGGGCTGCGGCAAGGTCTTCGCGACGCTCTCCAGCCGCAAACGGCACGAAGGCAGCCACGCCGCGCTGCTGCTCGTCACCGCGGAGACGGCGCTGGAGGCGCCCGCCCGCGCCGGCGGTGACAGTGCCGGTCATCCCATGGCGCGTCGGCCGCGCCGCAACTGAAGTCCGAGGCGGCATCCGACCAGTCGTGGACATTAGTTTCGGTTCTCTTGATACGCTGCGCTCACTTGTCTTTGCTGCACTTTGCAGTTTTTTCTACCTCACGCAGTTGCTGTTCAGTCGCTATTGCACATTTAACTTATTTGCATGTATTTTTAATTGGAGATTAATTTTCTAGCTGGCTTTTATAGCTTGAATTGCATTGCGGCTGCATGTTCGTTGAATGAATTTACTCACTACTGTATTATTGCTATACAATTCTTGTTTATGCACTAGAAATGTCTAACGCAACTCAATGTCTTCGTACATTTTTACATGTGCAAAAGCAGTGAAAAACCGTCTTGTCGTCATATATAAACTGGCCAAATTATGATCATTTCTGATTTTGTAATCAGGTGCGCTTTTTTTGTCAGTTGTAATTTTGTAATCAGGTAGTAAATTTCTTATGCACATGTTGCACGATCAAATTGTAAATATTTAAAGCGAGGTAGTATCTGTCCTTTAATTTATTTGTACTCGTATCTGTACCCGGAAGGCCGGAACCAACGCGATCCCAAATCAGTTTGTTTGTAAAGTCTGCAAACGCGTCGTGTAAGTACTTATTTTCATCGCCAGCTTCCGTTTCTGCTGAACAGTGTCGGACACGTACAGTAGACGGAGGGAATCCGGAGCCACTGAGTACTTGTAGAATCCATTTACAGATATTATATAGTGTACAATAGATACAACAATATTGTTACAGTACGACATTATTCTATTCAGATCGTAGATCATCATTTAATCCTCTATTTATTTACTGTTTACCGTAGTCCCGTACAAATGAAGGAGTAGTAGTAAACCGTACAGTACTAAATGCATTTACGGTACAAATTCTGCTGTATTGTACAAAGTAACTCGTACATTTATTACTAGTAACACTGTACAAAGTACAGTTGCGCATATTAGTCCGCATTCTGAAGCATGATGTCTCAGAATCAAAACCGTTGATTTGTTACTGTAACTGGAAGTGCTTCTTAGTTCTTACCGTGATTCTTACCGTGCTTCTTATCTGCAATCGAAACCAGCAATCGTACAGCATCTGCATAAACTGCAAATAAATTAATAAAATGCCGACTACTAGATTAACGCAGTTATATCTATATTAACTGATATACGTGTAGTCGGTTTTGTACATCAACTTGCCATTTGGTACAATATTTGTGTCAAAACAGTCGGCAGAAGTACTCGTGTATTTGTACTTACATGTACTTTCGTTAGTTGTCTTACATGTACTTTCGTCTATCTCTGGTGTCGGTTGAGACTGTAGATTACATCTTTATTATGAAAGATTACAGTGTATTATGTGTTGAAGTGATGTAGTTGAACCATTGGACTGTAAAAATAAAACTTTCGTTAGTACATGTAAGTACAAATACACGAGTACTTCTGCCGACTGTTTTTTTCCCTTTAAATTTTATCTACGCAATTTGAATGCATGTATATACACACTTTTTTGTGGGAAAGTTTTCGGCAGAAAGTAAGTTATTCAGCTCGTATTATATAAACTGGACTACTTGAGGTGTACATAACATAAAATAAAGTAAAGCCAGTCGGCGTCGGAGCACATCTGTATCTACGGCCCGGAACCTGGACTCTCCCGATAGAGCCGCTCGTTCCTCTGTACAAATACAGGAACGCAGAAGAGAATTAACCTGTACAAAATAATTATTAATTATTACGGAACACCTGCAGTATTTCGTCTAAGCCATTTTCTTGCAGCATACTCGTGATATTGTCTGTGATCTCGATGTCAGTGCAGTACATAGCAGTAGCACAGATAGATATATATATATATATACGTATATTTTGACTAAGGGCGCTGTAAAAGAAGATAAATCCGCGATAATTAATAGGGCCATAACGTGCGCATCTGGCAAATCCCTCGATCCGACCCGATCCGACGCGATCCCAGAGCGCATCCAGCAACCTGCGTAATGGCGTGAAATGGCGGCGGCGCTTTGCGGCCAAGGAGATCAACTGGCCGCTCAAGCATTGTCCGCTGATTATTAATTATTGTGCAGGTTTGTCCGCTTGGCCGAACGTATATACACAGATATACAGTTGTGCGTAGCGGCTGGAATTTAATGCGGCCGGCACAAATGCAAATGTGCCGAGTCAATTCACCTCACTAATTCGCCTTCGCCTTCGCTGCATTAAATAGCCGGCTTAATAATTGTTAATATAGCGCTGCCGCATCCCTTCGTGTTAAATTCCTTTGGCGGCGGTAATTGATTGGGATTCTTCACTGGGACAGCGTGTTTGAGTTGGTTATGCGTTTAGTAATAATGTTATTATTAGCTGGCTCCCTCGCAGCCCGTGTGGCCACCGCTCATCCGCTTAGCATAATTGGATTGATTATCCACACGCACCGTGCGCCTTAATTCACAGCCCTGCTTGCTTATAATTATCCCACATCTGCGAACCGACACCAACGATCCCAGCCACATCTATACATGTACATACGCATCCATACACCGCGCTAATAATCTTTTTACCCTGCTAATCTTCCTGCAAAGATTCCATTAATTAACCTAATGTACATGTATATCCTCTGATGCTTCCCTGTACAAATTTATGTACAAAATGTATTTTTGCGCCTTTTTCCGTAGAATCGATGCTTTTTTATAGGCAGAATTAGCAGAACCGATCACATAGTAATATCTGTATATAGATATACATTCATGTATTACTTAGTACATTACTGCATAGTTAATTATATCTGTACGTCGTTAGCTCAGCATGGCACGAAGAATTCTTAATAAATTGTGTTGTGTTACAAGACAATTTCATTGCATGCAATGCATGCAATAACATAAAGATATGCGGTACATGTTGATGATCAACTGTCGTCGCTCGATCGGTTGGCATTTGCCGCACTGTACAGATATGATATGTATGCTGCTATGGGGCGAATGAAGATTATTAAATGGGCAAATAATCAGCTAATTACACGGACAAATCTGTATATAAACTGCCTGTTTAGCTGGCATAATCCAACTTGTTTTCCGCGCTGTCCATACATGTATATAGCGCTGACTGACAGACCGCCGCGATACTTTCCGAGTTTCACTAGTTGTATATAAAGCGGCGCTAAATGAATTCGAGCAGCGTGGGTAATCAGTATATTACCGTGTAACTGTAATTGAATGCGCCCGCTCAAAGCAGCATTAAAAAGCACGAAAAACGCTCCGAGCCAGCGGCGATCAGCGGCATGTTAGCGCTTCTACACTGTGTAAGTTGCATGCATGAATACTTTATTTATTCGCCGCGGCTGGTGTTTTCTTTACAAATTATGCCAGCGTTTGCTCGGCAAATCGAAGCGACATGTGCCTTATGCGATTAATATTGCCGCGCACATATTGGCTTACACTCATGCTGCCAGTATATGTAGTAGCTGGCAATGCAAGCAACCGCGATTCTCTTTACAAGTGGTCAATCACAAAAGTATACACTGATGCATTTACTGTGCAGGACGCTTCGTTGCCGCATATTACTCACGTAATTACTATATCGCACAAACCTAATCAAATTAAATTTAAACCACAGTACATGTCAGCACATCTTGGTGGTCGATTTTTGCAGCGAAGAATTACCCTTATTGCTTTTCTTTACGGTTATAGTAACTTGTAATATTACACGGTAGATTTTGTGTGATTAAAAATTAAGGTTACCGTGCATCACGTTAACAACCCGAGCAAACCAGAAATCGGCCAAACACACCGATCTATTAATGAAACAACGGGAAAAGCGAACTGCACGTCGGGAATCGGGATCGCGGCGGCGGAAATGGAGCGGATGTGGGGAAGAAATAAGCACTTAGGGTGATATATCGCTGCCCTGTGTACACACATGTATCACGGCTGTATATATATCTATGATGTTGCGGTTAGCGTTAACGCGGGGCCACTTGTTACAAATTACAAGTGAAGATCAATAATTGTGTAATTGAATCGCCGGTGGATGTTTAGAGGCGTCCGTGTCTGTACATGTAGCGAGTATATACAGTATACAGAGTGAGAGTAGCTGCGCAAACAAATACAATCACACAGAACGGAAGTGGCCAAATGCGCCAGATCAACAGCGCAAATCAATGATCGTTGCTGTTACATTTAATTTACTTTTCAAGCCGCCAAATAGGCCCTTCCATCATCGGCCACTTGCCCGGTAATGCCGCGCCGATCGCGCTGCAATTGATTCATCAGGCCAGCGTTTTAACTAATGTAATGCTCACTTGTCAGCCGAATTAAATCGCCGACCGGCGCACTTCTCACCGAGCAGTGTTTTGTGTGTTAGCAATAAAAGGTAATAATTTACTACTTACTTCAAATTATTATTCTTAATTGCTACTACATTTTGTTTCGATTTCTTGCCAACGATAAAAGCAACATTTTCTTGCAAAGTTATACACTGCAACGTCAGATTACATTAATGCAGCCACACCCACTTTTAACCGGCGTTGTGTAAAGAAAATAACAGTGGTGAATATTTAGGTTAGTTTGGCAGCGCACGAGTAGTTCATACAGCTGTTTGTTATGATACGCTGTTTACTGAGATTACACGCTTGTAATTACTACTTGAATTTAATATAAACTATCTGAATGAGTGCCATTTACCGCTGTTTGCCGCATTCCTGCTGTAGCTGCTACATACAATGGCTGCAAACGCAACGCAGTGGGCGTTGCAGGCCGTGACTCACGCGCGCGACCGCAGCTGATTGGCTGCCGGCCGCCGATGCGCTGACCGACAGCCAATGGCGCGCCCCATTAGGCGCTGACATCAACGTCGACGCGCCGCCCTCTCTGCAACACTGCTGCAGTGAATGCAGTGGCCAAGAGTAAAATAAACTGACATGCCGTTCCGTTCCGATCCGTTGTGTTGTAGCGTGTAGCGTGTAAGTGGCAAGTTCAAGACCATTTACAACAAACCCCATCAATGCACAACCGCATTCAATTACCATTTATACCAGACCGAATCAACACGCATTTGTCCTGAGAATCGCAGTTGTATGCTGGACAGTGCTTAATTCATTACCGCCTTCTGTCGCGCTTGTGGTAACTGTTATTAATAATTACCTTGGAATTTTGTTTTGCGCATGAGTGACGTGTCGTGCACATAATTGCCGAGAATGAGTGTCCGCAACTGCAACGGCTCCGTGGTCAGCTGCAAGAAGACGCCGGTGACCTCGTCGGGATCGGGATCGGGCTCCCCTCCGAAGAAGGCCTTCTCCATCGACTCCATCATCAACTCCGACTCCGGCGCCAAACGCTTCTGCCCCGATAACCGTCGCCAGTCGCCCTCGCCGTCGATGGCGCCGGGCCACCGCTCGCACAGCACCTGCAGCGCCACCTCTAACACCTCGCCGACCCCCTCGGCCGCCTCGCCGCCCACCACCCGCCCCTCCCTGTACACTCCCACGGCCCACAGCCTCGGCGGCGGCAACGGCCCCTTCCCGGCCGGCCCCGGCTCCTTCATGGACAACTTCAGTTTAGCCGCGGCGGCCGCCATGGCCGCGCACGCCTCGGGAGCGGCGGCGGTGGCGGCGGCCGCGGCGGGTCATATGCCGCACCACCCGGTCAACGCGCTCTTCGGCGCGGGACGCTACGGCGGGCAGCCGTTGCCGCCCGGGCCGGACGCCTTCCCGCTCAACTCCTGGATGAACATGGGCCTCGGACCGCGGCCGATGCTGGGCCACCTGGGACTGGGATTATCGCCCGGACCGGGGCTGCATCTCGGGATGAACCGCATCTTCGCGCCGGTGCACCCGCCCGGACACGGACCACCGGGACTGTCAGGTAATTAGCAACTGCATTAAGGACACCGTCGATAACGACGCGTAATGACCGTGGCCGGTGTATTTTACGAGCGGCGTTCATTGCCAATGCATCGAGGGCAAATGTCGTTAATGCAGTGCGACAGGTAATGGCTGCGTGGATAAGTTACGATGCGGGCAAATTAGGTAGAAGTAGGGAAATAAATCAAGTTGTTTGGTTTGAGCGATGATTAGCGGTGCGATCAGTGCGAGCGCGATTAACCGGTTGTGTGAGTGTGTTGTATGCGGAATTATATTATTAAGGCAATCAACTGCATAATGAACCGGCAAAGCTCCATTGGCTGCGATGCGCCACGCCCGGATAATTGCCCATCATTAGCCGGCAGTCCCGGCGTTAACGAGCGGGTTTTTTATAAGGAAACGGGCTGCATTCGTCAACTGCGTGTGTGTGTATCGGTTAAAGGCTTAATTAAGACGACAGCGGACGCTGGAGTGCGGTCGATTGCATTTCCCGTACAGCAAATGTATCGACTATTAAGGGCATTAGTTATACGCAGGTGCTGCTTGTAAGTTATAACCAGCACCCGGGACATAATGAACGCCGAGGTGGTCGGTGGTGTTTTCGCGTCTGAATTGCTGTATCAATGGCCGGGCATTCAGCACAGGACGAGTTAATCATTCCCGCGTAAATTATTGACGCTGACGGACAATGCCGGCCACACTGTTTACTCGCTCCTTCGCACAATGGCTAAACGCCATTTTAAATTCATTGCCAGCCACACTGACACGGCTATCAATGCCTGTATGCTGTGCCCATTTCCAATTCAGGCTAGCTATTTTTAACCAGCTTACAAATTACGCGTCTACACATTTCCCAGCGCATTGTCCCGGTGTGAATCAATCGCATTGTGCGGCGGCGCATTTCCGCCTGCAAATGAGCGGCGGAATATTCACGGCGGCGCTCATTAGCGCGGCTAATCAGTCCGCGTGAGAAGGTCACCGGCGAACGGTTGACGTCAGTGTGCGTTAACGGGGAAATCAGCCGTAAGGTCAAGGATTTCTTCCTTTCGCTGATTACGTGCTGTGCGCTGAAGACGGGCGGCGTTGCTCGTATGCAGCCAAGGCGGCCGTTCGCTGATCGCTTTTACAGCTATCTTCGTCCCATTGAGAAGGTTAATTAAGCCCACTTGATTGCGCTAATGAGCGCAACATCGCCCGGCCGTTGCATTCAGTGTCTTAATAATCCGGCCGTGGTTAATAATATTAGAGCATGATTATAATGCGACGTCAGCGGGCGGAGCAGCATTCCTTTCTTGACTCCCGTACACAGTTATACGTACACACAGCCGCTTAATTATACGGCCGCGACTTAATCGCATTATTCCTTTCCCGTACCGACAACTACAAGCGCAATTGCCGGTGTTATTGTGCGCATGATCCGGCATTGTTCGGCCGGGATAATTGTTCGTCCGGGCATTCTTCGCTAGCACGCATAGATGTACACGTATATATACGCGTCGCATTGACGCTAATGAGACAGATCCAATTACGCCGCCAAAAGAAACGCTTATTCTCCCATTCTCGTCCATTAATATTGCCCGCGATTGTGTTGTGCCGTGCGTGAATCGCGGTAATCAATTACACCGGCTGCCTGTATATACAGGCCTCTTAATGCAGATGTAAGTATGTGTGTTGCTCTCGTTGAATTGATTGATATATGTATTGGGAATGAAACGGGCAATTTGCAAATGAAATGCCCACCAACGTTGTCGTCCGGTGTTTGTCTAAGCGCCGGCACAATGCGCCGCGATGTCGATATTAGCGTTAAACAGATGCGCGGTTGTTTGGCCGTGTAATCGATCGGGTGTGAATCAGGTTGTTACAAATTAATTAATTCCCATCGACGTACCCGGCATCTCTCCATTCCCTTCCCATTAATTACCCGCTCCACTTCCCGATTAATTAGGCGTGCTCGGTGTATCGACTAACTCGATACCCGTCAAGTGCCGCATAATTAAGTGTGTACTAATCGCTAACCGTAAATGAACTGCACTTCCCTAATAACTGTGATGTTTTCCCAGAAAACGGTTTATATACAAACACTGCTTTGGCGCATTGTGTGGCAATCACGCGCAGCGAAACGTTGGAAGCCAAAAACTGAGTCAACACTGTCGACCGGTCGGGTTCGTTATTTTGCTTGTTTAGAATTGAATTGATTGCGAAGGAGGAAAGTGTGGCGGGATAAATTGGATAATCGCGCTGAGCGCGCAGCGATTAGCCGGCGCGGAGAATGCGCGGCGCACGCGCGGCATTTACTATTTAATCGGGAGAGAAAACGCGTGTAATGGAGCCGTGTTGTGCATTAATTTGGCAAACAGTGCAACAGTGGCGTTTTGTTTGTGGTCGACAGTATACAAGTGTACAGCGGCCAAAGTGCGTGTCGCGCAAATGGCCGATTCAACGATTGAGCGCAGAACGACGGCAGCGGCAAGCAGCGCTAATCTAGCGTATCATGAGAAAAAAGTGCATACTTAGGCAAATACGGCCCGGCCGGACTGAAAAGAGTCCACGCCGGCTAAATAGTAAATTCCACTCGATGGATGCACTCCGCTGGTCAGATTACGCTCTTTACAAATTGCGCTTTTGCGGAATGTATACACATGTCTGCGCCGCACAGCACAGCGTTAACACAAGGGACGTTAACAATTTATTTAGCTAATCTTTTCCCGCTTTCGCATCAGCCGGCATTGTGCGCGGATGTTTTTCTTCCATTCGCGGCCAAATTGCCCGACTGTTGGCGCTATCGCTGCCGGCCAGTGAAGCGGAAGAGGAGATGCGCAAGACAACCGGGAAGATAGCGGCCGCGCATCCTCTTGTATATACGAGTATATTGCCCGTCGTTTACCTAAATGAATAGCCGTGATTGCGCTGATTGGAGCGGCGTGAACGTGAGCGTGTCCATCGCTGCAGCGGAGCGTGGCTACAAGCGTCAGCCGATTAGCCAGCTCTAAATACGCTCCCTTATCGCAGCCATCACAATCAGACATAGCAAATTTAAAAACAACTCCTTATCGCCTCGATTACACCCTCAATGAGCAATAAACACGGCTAGCGTGGAAATCGGAATGCGGCTGTTTATGTACAACACGGCAGTCTTGCGCCAACCCGGCGCAAAGAGCAGGCAATTAAGGTCACTTTGCGCTGTCCAAGGAATTCAGTTTCTCCTTAATCGAATGTACGAGATTAGCAAGAATCCAAACACATGCTGCATAGTTGACGTTTTTCGGGACGGACCGATTAAAGCACTGCACAAAGCCTGCAGTTATTAAATTATTTTATATCACAGTCTAAATATATTATAAACTGCATCAATCATCAAAGGTCATCGCATGTTAATAAATGGCTAATGCGGTGTTGATTGCAGAATCGGCGGCGATGGCGCAGTCGATGGGTTTCCTGTACCATCCCTACCGCAAGCCGAAGCGCATCCGCACGGCCTTCTCGCCGTCGCAGCTGCTGCGACTGGAGCACGCCTTCGAGAAGAACCACTACGTGGTCGGCACGGAGCGCAAGCAGTTGGCGCAGAACCTGGTACATACGTTAGCGTCGCTCACAGTCAGCATTGTAGACCGTCATTAGCGGCATTGTTGCCGGTACAGTTGGCCACAATGCCGCGACATTCGTCAGTGGATAATTATAGCCCGGTGGCTGGCCGCGACGCGGCTTGTCGACGGCCGCGATCGGGCTATAATACAGCCAATTACACGCGGGCCCTCCAACGTGACAATTGCGCTTTTTGTGCCTTATATGGAGTGTTAATTAGCGTGTTATTGGCATGATTAATATCGCCACTTGGCTGCACACACCAAGCAACAATTGACGATAACGACCACTTTGCGCTGACATTCACCTGTATCCATATATCTTGCCAACCTTCACAATGTCATCTAAATTATTACGCCACAAACCGTCAAGGAAAATAGCTCAATTCATTACGTCCGTGTTCCTTGTAAAATACCAGCTTTTTTTAAATAAGCGATCCCATTACATATACAGTACAGTAAAATTAAACAAAAACTGGATGTAGTTGCTTGCTGCGATATAGCGAATGTCTGTATGGCGGTACCAGTGTAGATTTTGTCTATTAATACGAGGACACACGTTTCCTGTATAACTCCCCGTTAAGTGTTGTTTTTCTGCTACCACAGGCACTGACGGAAACGCAAGTGAAGATATGGTTTCAGGTAAGCGGCAAAGTCTGTTTTTCTTAGCAAACAACTGGCTGAAAGCGGTGAAAAACGCACTTAATGTATCACAAGTATTGAACGTGCACTTAAATGCTTAAAATATACGATGCCGGTAATATTACTGAGTGTCAAACACACGGCCTGCAAAACATTCAACTTAACTGCCAATAAGCAATAAACACAGGGTGAATTACAAGGGTAAATTAGCCAGTGACCTCTGGGTGCAATCTGTAAACTGGCGCTGCGGTTGATTATTCCCGGTGCAGTCGTTGGCACTGCGACCCGTTACGCGCATACGGTCGTTCGGGGAGTTGTGTATATACGCGGCCAATTGGCACAACAACTGCATTGGTCGCTGGTTTAAATGGCTCGTAAATGGACTGGGAATGGCTTGATTTCGAGGGAATTAAGCCGGTCGATCTGCGCGTTTAATGTCCTGCATCCGGGCATCCGGCCGGGCTGGATACAGTCATGCAGATGCAGCGGGGATGGGGAAGGATTGGCTGGATGATGGAGGCAATTTCCCTGATGACGCGATCATCGCGGGCCTTGTCGGCTAATACAGCGGGGCAATCAGGGCGCGTATTATGGCCCGACGCATCAGCCTGGCCATCGAGATTGCCGGCGACAGTCGTGTGCCGACAGATCGCGATGAGAGCCAGCAGATTGGCTGGATATAGATATACGTTACGCGCGTTAACGTTGCGCTGGATGTAATCCGCGCAACGTTGACGTTGGGGCCGGAAACGACTTAACTGGCCATTTTGTCGGCTAACGAGCAGGGAGAGGGCTTGTAAAGAGGAAGAATTTGCAGATTGGATTACGATCCGCGCGGCCATTTCCGCTCGGAGCCCACGCCACGCCGCGAACGTTTATATGTATACATGTGTATATATACATCCATCGCTCCCATACCCATGTACCCCGTCCAGCGTCCCGTAACCGGGCCCCGCTGACTTCCGCTGCATTGTGCCCGTCACGCCCAGATTGCCGGCTCATTTAGCCGGCAACTGATATGTATCCCGGCCCATCATATTCTATCAGGCCAGCGCACGCACGCTAATGGACAGCGTAACTCTACACCATAAACAACCCACTCAATTGCTACACTTAAACTTAGTTCGCTTTTATCAAATCTCCATTATAATATTATGTATCGCTACACGAAATGTTACAGCAAATTGTGGCAGTATTCTTGAAGGCAGATATCGGGTGACCAGGGCGGTTGCCCTGTGCGCCGAACAGGCAAAAAAGGCAATTATGGCATTGAGGCGCGCTAAACGAGTTTGACGGTTGGGCGCGATATCAGCGCTGGGCATCGTTCATTGCGGGAATTCGAAGCAGGGAAGGCTGCATTATCGTGTTGATGACGGGGATGCTTAGCGTAATTACACTGGCCAGTTTAGCGCTGACCACGCTCCGCTGGACGTCGACGACGCTGTATCTTCTGTATCTATGGCTGTCAAGCGGATCGATCAAGGCAAACTGCGCCCCGCTGCGCGGCTCAATACTCCGCTCACCGATGATCGCTTCATTTTAAACGTTTTCCCAACCGATATATACGCGCTATCCTAACCACCAACCATCAATATCTGCCAGATTCTCCAGCACGTCCAGCGGCTTTAATTGCCGCTAATAACACTCGCCACTTAGTCCAACGAGCTGCGAGATGGCCAATGTGTCAGCGCATGCAAAACGCTCCTTAATGAAGCGCATTACCCGCCAAATAATACACTGTCTGTCACTGCTTTTGATACGTGAAACCGGTGATTAAAGTAATTATCAGGGAAATCAAGTAGTAATCGAATTTCTGATGAAAGCAGCAACTGCGCTTTGTGCAGTATTACAGCTTTCTTTTGCTTGGGTTTGCCTGGTTTTCTGGCAGTGGTCGGGAGAGATGCGGTATGTACCTAAAATTGGCGTTCGATACCAGGGAATGAAGCGTGTTTATGTGGCATGATAATGTTATTGCGAAGGGCGTTGCCGGTTAATTATTCCGCAATCTGAGCGCGCAGTTAGGTGGACGATGACAGTCATTGGTGTATGATGGATGAGCCGTTCCATTGGACTGGGCGCTAAGGCCGGCTCGCGTTAGGAACAAATCGTTATTATTTCGTCCGGGCTAAAGAGTGGGTATTAGTGTCAGGACAGTGGACGGCAATTGCTCCGTCAGAAATTCAGAATCGGCCAGGTATGCTGTATCTGTATCGCTGCAGGCTTCATTCCTTTTACCTTTAACAACGGCTAAATTAACCGGCTGTATATAATGCAGCAATAACATTCAGCTGATCGGATATACACGCTCATTCGGCATAATAATATATCCAGCGGATACTGCGCTGACCACATGAGCGTCAGATGAGAGAAGCACAGGAATAATTGAGTTTAAACGCCAGACAGATAGATATTCGTAGGCAGGCAATCAAATTAAATAGCTGACTGACAGACAAAGCCCCGCTCGCTCCATTCATCGGGACCGGGTTTAGATCTCAGGCAGCAACGTGAATATATGATTATCACGAGATGATGGAACATCCATCACTGCCCGAACCGTTCGCTTAATTATCAACCAGTGTCCTCTGCTGTCCTGTCCTGCAATACCTGTCCTGTCCCCAACTGTCCTCTCGCTGCAACCTCAACCGAACCGGTCGGGCCAAAAGAGATAGAGTGCACTGCATCCTAATGAGTCCATCATCGTCTCATCACCACCTGCACAATGCATTCTCGCCTTTTATTCCCCATTCACGACTTCAGCCGCGCCGTTTGTAAACCCAGCTAAACAATCATTTACTGACCGTTGCTATTAAATGCCACTGCAAGAATAATTTGTTTTCTTGGGCGCACATGTTTCTTTTGCGCTATACAAACGCTGATCTTGCCATGTCCGATTACCGCTACATGGAACAATAACACCTTTCCTTGTTAATTATTTAGGAGATTATTGTTAAGCTAACTGTATTTCAGCTTCATTAGATTAATGCTCTAAACTACGAGAAAAATTAGGATTTATTAGAATATGATCCGCAGTTTTATTTCCGGTTCAGTTTAATTTCTGCTATCAAGCGGCTCAGTGGTGACCTTTGCAATTTCCGCAGTAGAACGAATGATAGCACCGTAAACGACTGCGATAGTGGAAAATCGAAAACATGATGGCTGGTAATAAAAACATAATAAAGCAGAGCGCTGACGAGTCAAACTGCAAATGAGCTGTCGTCGCGATGATCGGCTGGGGCGTGTTATTAGCGGCTGATTACTGCTCCTTTCACTGCCGACCATTTCCACTGAATATATTCGCCATAAAATCATTCGCCGACTGCATTACCAATTTACCGTGATGGCATTAGCATTTAACAGCGTGCCAGATATTCGCGCGGCACAGCGAGCCTCTCGAGCAGTCGAGAAGCGCCGCGCTAACTGCCCGCACGGCAATTTATTCCCAATGCATATAAAATAATTTGCTCGTTACACGTCCGATTACACCGACTGAAACTGCCGGCATTAGCGCAGTGTTCAGTGTGTTTATATTGGACACTGACAACAACGCCACAATACATTCATCAACGTGCTATGCAGCCATAACTATAATAGACTCGCCTATTTAATTTGCTGATTAAATTGCTGCCCCGGGGTCAGCTTCGTATCTGTATATATTCGTATCGAATTGTGTTGTCTTCTTGAGTTGTGGCCAACCGGTTTCTGCTTTCTCTTTTTAATCGGCGTTTTGCTGGCTATAATTTACCGCATATCAGCGCTGATAGATGGAATAAATATCCATGTTATATGCCATTGATGCGGACTCGTCGGTCACGTCGATCGCCCAACGATCGACGCTCAACGAGCGACGACGGCATTAATTGCACGTCAGCAGCGCAGCAAACAATAACTCGGTAATGTCAGTTTAATGGGTTGTTTTTGTCTTCATTAACAAGTCGCTCAAGTGCAGCATTACACTTATATGGCCATGATACGAGTGTAAGCAGCCGTTTCATGCAGTGAAATTAATACCCGCCACGTTAATCACTCAAAGCATATATACGCACACGCACCCGTTATATGCACGCTTAGAAAACCACCTAAATAGGCAGCAAATTCCGAAAAGTCAACATTAAATACGTATTAAAAGAAAGCAGCCACACACACCGCTGTATCATAAAACTATGCTTATTACTTTAGTCTTTAAATAATTAATCGTTATCACTAAATCCAAAAATATTGTAATTTTGTGTAGAATCGGCGAACGAAGCATAAGCGGCTGAAGAGCGACGGCAGCGTCGACAAGGACGGCGACGCCGACGTGGACGACGAGCCGGAAGAGGACTCGGAGGTGGAGCTGGAGGACGACGACGTCGACGGCGGCGCGGTGCTGGAGCCGCCACCGGCGGGGGACGCCGACGCGTCCAGCTGTTGCCGGACGTCGCCCAGCCTGGCCCATCACCGCCACAAAGACCGCTCGCGCCACAGCGTCCACGTTGACGAGGACGCCGGGAACGGGAAAGAAGCCGTCGCCGTCGCCGTCAGTGACGCCGACCGATCTCAGCCAGCTGACCGACCGGAAAAGACCTCACCGTCCAGAGAACCGGACGCCCACCGCCACGGCGGCACTCTCCAGGACGGCGAGCGTCCCGGCGGGTTCCCTGCGTTTCCCTTTTCGGAGCCGGCGGCGCCGCATCCCAACTTCTTCGCCGCGGCGGCGGCGGCGCTCCCGCGTTCGGCGCACTCCAACTTCGCGCCGTATACGCCCACTTCCGGCGCGGTGCACCTCCCGGCGCCACCGTCCGCGGACGCCTACCACCCGGACACCGCTGCCCCGCGCAGTGCCACGCACCACCACGCGATTCTCAGCAGCAAAACCAAACGGAAGTAAATTTCTCTATTCTTCTACGCCTGTTGTTAAAGGTGTATAGTATACGCATTTGTGGGAAAAATAATTCGAATGATGCTTTCCCTGGTTAATCTGACTGCATCGACCGGCGCAACAGTGTTAATCACGTCAAGTGCTGCAATGATGCAGATTGTATTCCCTGTGCATGAGTGCAGTATATACGAGTGTATTCTGTGCATTTCCGAGCAATGAATGAATTACAATTCGATTAACATTACCGGCAGCAAAAATATCAAAGCAGATTACCTGCGTCGGGCGAAATTAATCGCGTAGAATTGCTTAACACAGCACAATTGTAAGCAGCCGAAGAATTGCCAGTCAAGAAGAGTGCAAACACGAACGGCTATGCCGGTTATGTGTGTGATTTGATCCGGCGAATGGAGGTGTAATACGATTCCCGAGAATCCCGACTTGCACACATCCATTAATTTAAAGCCGGCACAAGATCTGCACGGAGAATAGTGCAGGTAAGTAGTAATACGCAACATTACGTTACTGCCTGCACACCGCCTCCATTATGGCCGGCAGCAATCCATTTGGACGTGCCCGGCAGATTAAACACTGACCATAAAGGCGGCTGTGTACAGTCTGGCGACGACTGCTCGATGGTTGGTAAAGGTCAAACAAATGGGCAAATAAATAACAACATTCTCGTAATAGCATCAGCGCGGATCCAACCATAATATTACTAACCCAACAACATAATTATATAATAGAAACAACAAAAAATGAAATAAATCCAGTTTTCAGAAATATTGTGGTTTAATACTGTACATAGTATTTCGTAAACCCAGAAAAGGATTTCGGATCACGGATTATTAAGGATTATTAATTTAAGGATTAAGAAAAAAAGGGATTATCAATTTTTTAAGCTTGCGCTAGCACCCTTAAGCGTACCGCGTTAAAGGGGGTGCAATGGGAATTCCGAAAATACATGTATGAATGCAAGAACTAATTGAAGGGTACAACACATGTCAGAACAAAAATATAGAACAATATAGAACAAAAATTAAAATGTTCTGTTACCAGTGTATATTGTATTGTACTCGTACGCAACAATGCTGAAACTGCTTTGCGAAAAAAAACTTAATAAGGAATGTGCAAATTTGGATATACAGTATGCTGCTCGTGCTCTGTAGACGCGACAAAATTTCAAAAACGAGCGTTATGTACATATTCCGCCATCGTTGCGCGCACAATTAGTATGTAGCGTATGCTGCGTTTCCACTCGCCTCGACCGCTTGTATCTCTGCAGATCAATGCCAAAACCATCCTGAATTAATTAACAACTTGAATACTCGTATACGTACTTTATTTCGATTAGTGATTTTCACGGCGATAACCAGATACTACTGCTTTAAAACCAGTTTAGTCACTTAGAAATGTAGATTTAGAATTTAGACATTATCAGATACAATTATACAGAGTACGCATAACCGCTGTAATATTCTTTCAAAGAAAGCAATTGTTTTGCAGTAATCATACAGTGCGTAGCTATGGGCAGTGGGCACCTCAAAGTTATATGCATCAGACAGTTATTATGATACTCTTTATTTATGTTCACTCAGCGACATAACATTCAATCAATCCACTACGGCCAGTACTGCACAATCAAGAATTAAAAAAACAACCAAAATCGCTGTTGTCAACAACTTTATTCTTTCCCGGTAAAGTTCCTAAAATCGCGGCCGCATTGCCTTTAATAATTGCAAGGCTAATGCGCTGCTTTAAAAAAGCCGTGGATCTGCCTTCTCCGGTTCTCTCCTTGATTTTCCGACCAGAAAAGCTGACCATTTCTCTTGCTCCTTCGCCGAGCACTCCGAGCGTTTCTACAGCAAAGGGATAAAACCAGAACTGATCGCCCAGATCCCGATAATTGTATTGTTTCCGGCTTTCTGCTTGGTGTGCCGCTGCGCCCGCAACCTTTGCTGACCATCTAAGATACGACTGTGCTAACGTGTCCGCAAAGGTGGCGTCCCATACCAGCTGCTTTCCTTCTCGAACCGGCACCAATGTCAATCCGTCTGGACGTTTTCCGTTACGTCTCGGGATGAACCAACGGGTTCCAACTCGCAGGGAAAGCCCGCTGCTACGCATCCTCGTTCCAGTATACTGTTCAATTCTGTATGTTGGCTCCATCTACCTTTGCTGTACAGGCAGGATAATCCATGATGACCATCTGGAATTACCTGGAAGCCACATCCTACGCATTCATGCGGTGCCACTACTGGTAAACCGAATCGCAATCCTACTGCAATTCGAACTTGTTCGTCATTCACCACCGTTCCCAAGCATGCTGCCGGTAGCGCGTGGAGCCATGCCGCAGATTCTTTCTCAGACGCCGCTAATAGTGTTGCCATTTCCTGCGGTTTACCACTGGCCATTGCTTGTAGGCGGAGCTGTGAGTATGTACGTTCCACGACGGGCCAATCCCAGCTTTTCTGATATTTCCTCAGATTTTCGGAGGGCATTTCGCACTGATACGTCTTCACCCACTTGTCCGTAGACAGTTATTATTGTTATATATTAATAACTGTCCGTAGACAGTTATTATTGTTATATTAATCGTTTAATGTACGTACGTAGTATGTAATGTACGTATACGTAGTAGAATACTGTAATATAGTATTATCTTAACGTGGTACCATATTACACTATGGTGAGACGCATTCCCCTTTATAACTTATACGTGACCTCTAATTACCTGTAGTGCCCTGGACTTGCCCAGCCTGACGCGGCAGTCGACGGTGACCTTTGGAAGCGACTTAGTGTGCCCGACCGCCAGCCTCGGCTGCACCAACTGTCCGGCGCTTGGAATGGCCAACTGGACAAATGATATACATGGAATGAAATATATATATATCTATATAATGTGTGATGTTGCGTACATGGGATGCGCCACGCCTTGACTGCATTTCCGCTGCGAGGTGCCGCTGCATTTCGGCTAGGAGTGGTCCGCCGGCGGCCCGGGGCCGAGCAGAGATCTAGACAGCTGCCTACGCTAGTATGACGAAAACTGCGTCAATCCCAACGCACGGGATGCTTCGGCGGTGGTGCCTTGACGGCTCCGCCGCCCTCCGGAGCTTCCCCGACGGCCGCCGGCGGTCCCTTGCCGTAATTACGAGATTGACTTCTCCAGGTAGTTCTGTGGGAAATTGGAGATTCTTCCTACGTTAGTAAAAGAGCTTTCTTCACCAGCCAACACGATTGCTTTTCTGCTCAACTGCCTTTTTGATGATAGGGAACACAGATATGAAGCGGATACTAATGCTGCATTAATTGCACGTCAACTGAATTATTGTGTGTCACCGGTTACGTTATCGCTGTATTGCACAAATAATTATGTACATCGGGTGCGACCGCCTTGCGCTATTTCCGGCGCAATATACTGTAGTTCTGTACGTTCTCGTGCCACCGAAGCTGACAACTTCAGGAGCATTACGGTAAGCATTAATTAATTTTACTACTTCGACTAGCAGACTAGTAGAATCGTTATACTACAAAATCTGTAGTAGAACCCCTGAGCAAGCGTAACAAGCAGAACAATACGCAACAACGCAAACAAAGCGTACAAAGGTCATTTATAGCGTCGGTATATATACACAATCTTGTTAGTCGGAGAAGAGAAGAGCAGCACAATTTATTGACTGATTAATCCGAATCGCCGGCAAGCATACGAAGACATGCAGGCTGGCCTCGTAACTGACTACCGGGGCAGGTGGACCTGCACGACGGACAGCGGAGATCCCTGGCAACGTCCCCTCCCGCGGGCGCGGGCGGGGCTCAGACGAGGGTGCAGTTGTACTTGCGCGGGCGGTACTGCTTGGGGAAGAGGACGGCGCGGGCGGCCTCCTCGAAGACGGGCTTGAGGCCCTTCTGCGTCAGGGCCGAGCACTCCAGGTAGCGGACGGCGCGGATCTTGTGGGCCACCTTCAGGCCCTGCTCGCGGCGCACCGGGGCGTGGCCCGTGTCCGCCAGGGAGTCCAACACAGCGCGGTCCTCGCGCAGGTCGATCTTGGTCCCCACCAGGATGATGGGGCTCGCCGGGCAGTGGTGGTGGATCTCGGGGTACCACTTCAGCAGCACGTTGTCTAACGAGGACGGCGAGACGACGCTGAAGCAGATCAGGAACACGTCCGTCTGCAATTAACCGATAAATTGTGAGAAATCCAATTAAAATACGCAATTTGATTTATAAAATTAATGTAAATGTAATTCGGTTTCGTAATGTATAGAACTAGGGTCATAAAATAATGTATGGTCTGTATTGTACAAGTATGTGGCTGTACGTACGCTGTGTGGAATAAATTACCATGGTATATACGCATTATTAAATGCATGCAATACATATCCACATAATTATTATGTGCTCTGTATAATTATATGTATGCACATACATAAAGTAATAATATATTTACGCTAATATAGATATGAAATCTATTGTATATCTATATTATATAGATACACTCACACAATGTCATATCAAGGAACTAGACCTATAATAACTACAAAAAAGCTGAGGCATCGAGATCGGAAAAACCAGAACCTAATAAAAAAAACTGTAAACGCCATTAGATTCAGCATATTCAGAAACTGTATCACATGCATTTTATTTTAAAAAAAAATTATTTAAACCCGTCCGACCGATGCCGGTTTCGGCAGAACTGGCTTCGGTAAAGCTTTCAAGGTGACCTTGAGAATAATAGCAATGCCAGTTGCTTAGAACATTTATTAAAGTGTATGTACTACAATGAATTTGTAGTTATTTTATTTGCAAACATGTTGAATTTTAATCGCCTGATTGCTGTTCAAATGTTCAATTTTTAAATGCCTAAAAAATCCGATTCCCTTGATTGAATTAGCCCAGGTTTCGAAGGAAACAAAAGCCAGTGAACAAAACTGCTAAGGCAGTGAGTGACCCAGCTACCGCCACTGTCCAGTGAACAAAACGAAATCACTAGCTGAGTGATGACCGAGCAATAAATCACTACCCTAGGTGAACAAAATTGCTAGATGAGTCAGTGACTGAGCTACCACCACTGTCCAGTGAACAAAATTGCTAGGTGAGTGAGTGACCGAGCTACCACCACTCTCAACTGAATAAAATTGCTAGGTGACACCGTTAGTGAGAGACTGAGCTACCACCGCTGTCCAGTGAACAAAGTTGCTAACTGAGTGAGGGACTGAGCTAGATTCCTTGCCTAAGAAGTTCTACAATAACTGCTAAGGCAGTTAGTGAATTTACTAAGAATTACTGCAAATGGAATGATTTGTTCAAAGCGGCCGTGGATCACAAGAAACGCGGAGGCGAAGCCGCAGCGGTTTCTTGTATATAAATATTGTACAGTACACACACATGTAAATATATAGACTATAACCCAGTGCAGTTCCTAGAACCGAAATTAAGCCCGATCGGGAGCAGAAATTCTCTGGCCCACACTAAGCATTATCGGGTCCTGAACCGTGCATATACCGGTATGTACGACAGTACGAGTAGTATGTTTGTACATGATTATTTATACTCGTATGTATAAATGAATTCATATCTATAATATCTGTCGTACATAAAAAACTTGTACACAGTACGCGACAGGCGTGACTTACTTGAGGATAGCTGAGCGGTCGCAGCCGGTCGTAGTCTTCCTGGCCGGCCGTGTCCCACAGCCCCAGGTTCACCAAGATGTCGTCCACCTTTAGCGCCGCGGAGAAGTTGTCGAATCTGCCGACGAGATAGAACAACTCTAAATGATTACGTTGTGCAGTTACGCGTACAAACAAGCATAAGAGAAGCCGGCACGCCGACTACTTACACGGTGGGGACGTACTCCCCGGGGAAGCTGTCGGTGGTGTAGGAGATGAGCATGCAGGTCTTGCCCACCGTCCCGTCGCCCACCACCACGCACTTGACCGGGCCGTCCCACCGACATCATGCCCGACCGGGTGTAATTTATATGTGGTCGGCAACTGGCAGACACAGATGTGAGAAAGAGCAAAATGGCTCGTGCAGCGCGCTACTCCATCCGGCTCTGCACTTGCTTATTTATTCAGCGCATGCTGGCCAGGGGTCTCTCCCGGTCGTTGTGATCCGACGGGGGTAGTCCTGTTAAGGGAACAGAATCAGCATTATTAACTCCTTGTCACATACAGAGCAGACTAGTACTGTTGTCCTTCACGCGGACTACACGGGCAGCGTGCCACCGCAACGTGTGGCGGTTGCCGTGTGCGCAACGTAACCCCACTGCTCCCCGCGTCGACTACGCCAGTGCCAAAGCGCCAAGTTCGGTCCGTCTTACCAAAATGGTACTCTATTTGAACTGCCAAACCGGACACTCACGGTTTTCGGCCGTGACAGCCGATTGTCTTCAAAATATCAATTGCATACGTAGCGCAACAGTCCATGACTCCAGTTGCGTGCAGTACAGCTGACGCAGTGCTTGCCAAGAGGTTGCCCGAGGTTGCCCACGACAAGCAGCGTATTTTTTTGTTAAATTACTCATACTTTTTGTACTGTTTACGAAATAATATTTGCAGTGTAAAACGGTTGCGTAGCTAAAACAACCCGACAGCAACAACAGAGCAGGCACGCTGATAAAAAAGATACATATATATTGTATACGTTATTATGTGGTACTCACGTTAATTCTATGGACGCATATATACTCCTGTGCTGACCACGGCCCTGCGCAGTGGCGCACACTCCGACAGCATCCACCGGAACCGAGTAAACAAAACTGCCGTAGAATATAGTTTTGCGGGGACCGGACCGGATGGTTGAATAATGTAGCAGGGATTTCAAGGCAGCAAGTCCGTCAACACACTTGCACACACAAAGTATGCGTGTATATTGGAAGCTAAGGCAGCCAGCAGTAGACCGATGTGTCAACACAACGGGCCAACAAGGAGGTGATGCTGACGATCAGCGCCCGGAACGGGAGATTTGTTGCCAACAGCAGGGACCTGGATATCGACAGGGAAGAGTCATGGAGCTGCGTATACAGGAGACGAGCAGCAGCAGGAATGATTCAGCTAGCTGTGGCAATATGATTGTATGTTCATGCAGTGTGGATGAGCTGTGTGTACGTATAGATAGATGCATGCACAATGGCCAGCAGTGCTGATGCCTATTGCCTGCCCATCGCTGCACTTCCCGTGTCTGGCGTGCGGCAGCGGCACGACCAGTGCCGCGTTAACGCGTTTCATTCCATTTAGCAGTTAGCTGCCTGGCCTGACGTGGAAGGCATACTTCTACGCATATAATATTATACGCGTTTATATGCACGTGCTTGAGCCTTGAGGCTGCCGCAGCCAGCGGATAGCATGACTAGAGCCAGTGCCTGGCTTTCCTTTCCTCTGGCCGGAGCCGGAACTGAATCAGATCATGATGGCGATGAGTGCCAGTGCGAGTGGAGTGAGTGGAGCAGCCAGCGGCAGCAGGTAGACATATGCGGTGTCTGCCTGCCGCTTGTACAGTACAGTTAAAATACGCTCAAGTAGCCAGTCGGACTCGGCACTGATCGTGTGGTTGTGCCGAAAGATACTGTAGATACGCATGCAGTCGGATAGGGATGAGTCGGCCCGTTATTCATCCACCCACTCACTCACTTCCCTGTCCAACGGCGCACTGCCCACCTCATCCGGCTCATCATCCGGCTCATCGTCCGGCATCCCAGTAGAATGCTGTATCGGCACTGTACATGAATGTACATGTAATATAGATATGCCGATGCCGGTCCACTTGCCTGCTCTTAAGCTCGCTTCCGCTGATATCCTCCTTCCGCGTCATAGGCACGGCCGCAGCCAACTCTTCCCTCTACATTCCATTCCTCTCCATTCTAGATCTGCCGGCCTCTAGATCTCGCGTGTCAAGCGCCGATATCTGGATAAATCACCGCCAACCAGCCACCATGGCCAGGCAACACAGTCAACACACCAACCTAATAACCCATTTACCAACATCTATCTCTGACTCATACAGTACACTCGATGCATCCTGTATGCATCATCACTGCAGGCGCTCTAGATGTACGCTCCTCGCGTTCCCGTTCCGCCTTCCCGCGCTCGATGAAAAACAGGCAAATCTCTTCCCTTACACCCCACGGAAAATCTGCCGGTTTCATGTTGTCGGCTGTCAACAGATGTGTTTTTCGCTGCTAAGAATCGACAATTAATTTTGCAATCAAAACACACTGACATTAATTAGTGCCATTAATTTGAATACTTCCGCTGCCGCATCCCAACAAGTAATTCCGCGAAACAGCATATTAAATTCCGCTTCTATACCAGTGCTAGTACGACACCGCAGAAGCGGTAATACTGTATACTTTGCAGCAGCGTTAGACAGCAGCAAATTGCACTGCTTTATTCTTTCACGGTGCGCTTAGTCAAGTGCAGAGATTGTTGTTTAAAGGGAATAACCATATCTTGGATTCGTGAGCAAACTGCACTAACAATTACAGCTACTGTGCGTGGACACTTAGCCGCAAGATTCTGCACCGGAATCTTTCAAACAGGAGACCGCCAATTCGTCAGACTGACTGCCGGCCAGGTGCGGCAGTTCTTTCTTTCTTTCGCAGACAACCAGCTTAAGCGTGTGACGAGAGTCTTCCTGCGGTCTGTCGTGGCCGGCCTGTCGACTGTACTTTGTAGCGGTGCACTACTTCCGGCAACAAATTGGAATACTACCAGCGCGCTCGTCATACCTTATGGTAAGATGGCCGCCCCTGCACAGCCCGATTTAGGCGGCCTTCCGAAGCCGCAGTATAGCGGTGTGACGTGTCGATGGGCAGTGGCGCCACTACCCTACATCCGGATCCCGACCAGGAGAGACTTCCGGTTTAGGAAGGAACAGGCGCAATGCCTTCGATTGCATATGCGCCGCTGTGTAGCGGCGGCAATTTCCCCCACCGAGCGTCGTTTGATGCTTTAATTAGCTGTCTAGTTGTTTGAACTGCGGCTGGTATACGTACCGGTAGACGGTATGTTTACCATGGTAGTGCTGATCGACGGTCGCACCGAAGCCGGCTCAGCATGCAGATCTATGGGCCGACTTATCGTACAGTCATAATAACAGGAGCTCCCTGCATCTGTTGTCCAGGAACCACTTCGGCCTGCACCTTTCTCCGACAACTCTAGCTACTAGGTAGTAGGTAGTAAAGCGCCACTCCAGTATCAGCTACAACAAGTGGAGTACTTTGTCATGCCAAAGTACCGGATGAATATACATGTATATACGACCGATGTGCGTGCATCCATCATTGTGTCCCTTCGGTCTTTCCCGACTGGAATTAAACGGACCAGTGCATCCCCGTTAAATGCCGCTGGTAGAATGCTATATCCTCGATGTATCCGAGCGGGGCCACTTAATCGAGCGAAATGCCTCTATAATAATAATATTAATACAACGGGGAACGCGATTTGTGTAATGGGTACGATCCCCGATCAGGATAGCATAGAGGAAGTGTTTCTTTTGTAAACTCTGTTTTGTTCTGGTGCATCGTTTGTACTCATACCATGATACTTATTAAGGGTTCTTCCGTATAATATTATGATCCGGAAAACACAAATTTCTGGCGGTCACGCAACGAAGCATTACCAAGGACGGTGCCTGCGCGGTTAAGGTAGGCTTACGAATATCAGGTAGGCTACACTCCACATACTGCGGGAACCAATCATTGCTCGTAGCGTTTGCCGGTCCATCTGCCGCCATGCTTTGGCTTGCGATTCATAGAATCTATGAATTATTTTTTGTCGAATTAACTGTTTTCATTATTGGACAGCACATATGTGTACATAATATGCAGTAATGGGTAGAGTAGCCATCGTCACATAGGAGATGTAGGGTTAGAGAAATTATTGGGCAGGAAACGGCAACGCAGCTCGCACGGTTGACCGTTCCGTTCGGCAGTTTCTTTGTTGGTTTCTCCGTTGATTTACCGCAACAGCTACTCGGGTAGTCTGCCCGAGATTCGGGCTTGACTCGTGGGACCGCGAGCCTGTGCAGTGACACGGCAAAATTTAATTATAGAAGCATATTAAATACAGTATTCGTTTTGTATGTATACGTTCATTTTATATTCTGTCTTCTGTCAAAACTTCGATGATTTCCTGAAGGAAACCGCTGTTGTTGTGGCAAGCTGTGTTGCTTGCAAATGCGCCGGCCTCTGACGATGGTGGCGCACTCCAGTATACAATGTATATATACTGCCCAGGGAGTCCTTTTTACGTGTCCGAAAGGTCACTCCCAAGGTGACGAGGGGGGATCGCCGTTCGGTAAGGATGAGCGTTGGCCTGACAGTACCTGCGTGTCGACCGCCAGGGTGGGCAGCAGCGGCCGTACATAAGTAAGGCCGTCATGGGTAATTTGCTCCCGCATCCCAGCGATCCAGCGGTGGTCCGGCGCCGGTCCGATCGGGCTCCTTCTCCAGCAGTCTACAATAAGCACCGGCGCACCGCGTTTAACCAACGAGCGATCGAGACAGGCTACTATAGTACTAAGGTTCACATATCGAAATTGTTCTGAATACGGAGTGCTTCAGGTTAACTTTCATGAAAACCTTACGCTTAAACTTGCGTCGACGACCTCGGAACCTCGCACTGGCCAGGGCTATCAACGCTGCTTCCGCGTTTTCGCATGCACTGCAAAGAGAAACAGACGCCTCTCTTCTTGCACCCTGCCAGTCCACCACTTCCGGTTGGCCGTGGACAATTGGACATTTTGCAGGTTTCATCAGCTGCTGTACTGAGGCCGCGATCGGGTTTCTCAAAGGCCAGCACAGGGAGACAGATATGCAGGTATGCAGGCCAGTAGCCATCATGTCCGGCAATGGGCGAACGGATATTATACGCCGCTAACGCCGGTATCCAGTAATCTAAATAGTTGTATGCACAGTAAATCTACAGTAAATGACATGTGCAGCCGGCAGATCAACGCAGCGACAGGTACGGTAGTTAATTTTTGTAGCGAAGAGGAAGAGCGAGCTAACGGTAGTTGTCCGATTTGTCTCACGAGGTCGACAACGGCAACATAACCAGCACGACAGATCACAGCGGAAGTGAGAAAGGGACCATTAGTAAAGCGCGCTACTATTTTGCCCGTATCAACTTCCAGCTACGTATTCCAGTGTCCGAAGGAACATGATTAGTTCCTAATAAGCAACGCCAATTTCGCGAAGTGATTAAGGTGAACTTATCAGTCCCTATCTGTACTCGTAGCTCTCCAGCTTTTCCTACTACCGTAGTATATCCATATACTCCTTGTCGAGGTGACGTGCGACGCATGCATACGAGTAGCTGTTTCTGTCGCGACAAATCAACTGGCGCAGTTGAATATTATACAGTACGTTCCTGCAGTCTTGGAAGTCCGTGGAAATCGGCCTGCGCGCTAGAGATGAAACGTATGTACAACCTAGAGTGCAGATACTCAGCAGAATAGAAGTACGGCATACAAACATTATTACCTAATTACAGTATTAACGTGCGTCATGTAACGCGGCCGCAGCTGCGTTACACGGACAGCGCTTAAATTCGGTAATGGCCATCGGAGGTACGCACGTCCACTGCTTTCCTGCTGATTAGTGCAGCCGGCACTGGGATGGCGATTACGCTAGACAATACATAGTTCCATAATAATAAGAATTATTATAGCGGAACGTACTTGTACGTACGGCTGCAATCACGTACTAGGCAGCTTTGCTGCTGCTGCTGACGGTACTTGTATATTATTACAATTATAATACATATATGGGGCGCGGTAATGCCGAATGCGGTAATGCTGGCGCGTCATTATAACGCGCAGCTAGCGCACTGCAGTTCCTTCACTTCATTGCTGGCAACTGCAGTCGCCCCTGAGATCTGTGAAGAGTGGCTACTGCAAATAGCGTGGCAACTTTTCACAAGTGTCAGGAGCGGCCGGCAGCTCCGCCGCTCTAGCTGTCGGTCCGGGGCCCCGGGCCGGCCTGTCCAGTGCCGGCGACTCGCCAGGCCTCCAGTCCGTCATCACTGGCACGCAGCTAGAGTCGGCCACTGAACGCCGTGGCCGGCGCATCACCAACTCCATCCATCGCATTGGCTCGCGCGTTCCTCCATCAGCCAATTCTCCGCTACTATGGCTACCCGTACAGTAGCACAATATGGCTCAGTGGGGCAGCTTCCGTCTTGGTA